GTTTGTTACACACTGTTCTATGCACTGTAATTAAAAATAATTAAATAAAAACCAATGCAAAAACACAGTACAGTGCAACTACAATTGGTGTTATTGAAATAATATTAAAAGGCAATACCAATCTCCAAAATTAGCTATTAAATTTAAACTAGTTCTATTGTTTCCAATTTCTTTGCTAATTTAATAAAGCTACAAAATCTACAATTCTCGTGTTAATTAATGAACCAATATAACTTGGTCAATTTCTTGAGCAATTTAATGGGTTAAAAATTACTAAATCTAATACTTGTTTTAAAAGTTAATGGAGTAAAACACACATACATCCAGCACTCGGAATTAAAAAACATTTTTTAATTCATATAAAACATTTTAATTACTCAGGGTTAGCAGGTATCTACGAAAATGTTCATGTTCTAAATCTTCAGCATTGCATTGCCTAATATAAAGTGGCTCTAATAAAGATAATTGATACATTTAAATTTATTCTCAATTTTTAGCAGATTTTAAAAATAAATATACAGGGTGTCCCAGAATAACATGGCAAAGTTCAAAGCTCAGCTCAAAGTTCGTGAAATTTATTTGAATTTTATAAATAAATCGAATACGTATTAATTGATTTTGATTATTTTTGGGGTATGGACTTTTACTTTCAATCTACAAATTTTGGTGTATACAGAGTATTTTTTAAAACTTACAACTCCTGCAAAATTGATGTATGGTGATAATGTCCGTTCATAACATTTTTATTTTTCGGGCAATAGTGACAACTATTTTTTATTCGATCCAAATTCTACAAGAGGCCCAAAAACTTCCAAATGGTATCACCTATCAAATAAACATGTGGTCTTCTGTTGTAAACATTATTCTGGGACACCCTGTATATGTACTATTGATGATTATAATTTACAAAAATAATTGAATCAGTAATAAGAGGTAAACAACTTAATAATAAAAATATACCCAGTGGCAACTATTCAAATGCAGTGGGTATAACATTGTTTTCTAATTTACATGAAAACGAAACTCTACGTTGGAGACATTAAAACATTTCCATTTCTACAATGTTGCATGGGATATACAGCATATCTAGGAAATAATGAGCCATCTCTCGAATTGGGTTAGGCTTGAAATAGCATNAACTTGGTCAATTTCTTGAGCAATTTAACGGGTTAAAACTTACTAAGTCTAATGGAGTAAAACACACATCCATCCAGCACTCGGAATTAAAAAACATTTTTTAATTCATATAAAATATTTTAATTACTCAGGGTTAGCAGGTATCTATGAAAATGTTCATGTTCTAAATCTTCAGCATTGCATTGCCTAATATAAAGTGGCTCTAATAAAAATAATTGATACATTTAAATTTATTCTCAATTTTTACCAGATTTAAAAAATAAATATACAGGGTGTCCCAGAATAACATGGCCTCAAAGTTCGTGAAATTTATTTGAATTTTATAAATAACTCGAATACATATTAATTGATTTTGATTATTTTTGGGGTGTGGACATTTACTTTCAATCTACAAATTTTGGTATTATATAGAGTGTTCTTTAAAACTTACTACTCCTGAAAAATTGATGTATGGTGATAATGTCCGTTCATAACTTTTTCATCTTTCGGGCAACAACGACAACTATTTTTATTCGATCCAAATTCTACAAGAGGCCCAAAAACTTCCAAATGGTATCACCTATCAAATAAACAGATAGGTGTCATTATTGCCCGAAAGAGGAAAAAGTTATGAACGGATATTATCACCAAACATCAATTTTGTACGAGTTGTAGGTTTTAAAAAAGACTGTATAACACCAAAATGTGTAGATTAAAAGCAAAAGTCCACACCCCAAAAATAATCAAAATCAAATAATACGTATTCGAGTTATTTACAAAATTCAAAACATTTTCACGAAATTTGAGCCAAACGAAGCGATTTCGGATGTAGGTGAAATAGCATAAATCTGCCTGCTTTGAGTCCACGAATATGTGGTTTTCCGTTGTACACGTTATTCTGGGACACCCTGTATATGTACTATTAATGATTATAATTTACAAAAATAATTGAATCAGTAATAAGAGGTAAACAACTTAATAATAAAAATATACCCAGTGGCAACTATTCAAATGCAGTGGGTATAACATTGTTTTCTAATTTACATGAAAACGAAACTCTACGTTGGAGACATTAAAACATTTCCATTTCTACAATGTTGCATGGGATATACAGCATATCTAGGAAATAATGAGCCATCTCTCGAATTGGGTTAGGCTTGAAATAGCATCAGAAGTTTATATATTTTTCTCCACCCTGTAGTTATTAGTTCTTGAAGTTTAGAGCCGAAAATTGATTTTTCATTGTAATTTTAGTTTCTCATTAAATTTGGATAATTTTTCGGTGAAAGCTGAAGGTATTATTTGAAGCTATCCCTGCTAATGTATTTCATTTACTGTTGGCTACTTTGGGAGTCCGGAGACAAAGCACCCTCAGCAGTATTGGACCCCAAAAAAAGTTGCACGCCTACTAATTATTATCACCATTTCTAAGACTTTCTTACATTAAGTGAAAAAGGTGTACTTGTACGTTATAGACGCAACGAACTTTTTTGAGAAAAACACGTTTAACGATAAAGATAACATACTATTCTGACTAAATTAATCTTCTTTATGTAGCAAAATAAATGCATAATGTCACTTGGCATTTGATTTATATACTTATTTTGGTGCAGAAATTTTAATTTTTGCTTTCTTGTACAGTAGAATCTCTATAATCTATAATATAATCCGGCACTTCATTACACCGGTACGTCCAGTAATTCGGCGTTATTTTTTCACAAATTCTAAAATAAAAGCACATATAGCTCTACATTGTTTCAATACCTGTATAACTTGGGCTGAAGAAAATGGCGTATCTTCTGAGGAAATCATGGTGCTACGGAATTTGCGACAGGTGTTTAAACAAGGACTGAGTGAGAAGAAGCTAATGTCTATGAAAGATTATTTTACAGAAAAATAAAAACATTAAGCCTAGTCCAGACCTACATACATTTGCTCGCCTACAGTTAAACATTTGTATAAAAACTGTATAAAAGTTGTTTAAAATGTGTTTGCATGCATTTGTTTAAAAACATTTAAACAAATGTTTAAGCAAATGTTTGTTTAGTGTGTTGTAAGCAATTATTGTATCAATGGTAGAGCTAAATTTCGTGGTTCATTATTTATTGTGTTTATAGATATAGGGCTATATAAAATTTGAAATATATTATATATCCACACTGCCTCACTATTCACCAACATGTTTTTTCACTAAAGACATGTTTTTGTCTTTAGTCTGGACTCAATTGCTACCTCGTTTAAACAAATGTTTAAGAAAACAACACACAATACACAACTGTACATAAATGTTTTGTTTGCAGGCAAATGTTTCCAAACATTGGCTTGTGGGCAGTGTATGTAGGTCTGGACTAGGCTTTATACATATATATGCATACACAAATGTAGTATGTATGTATACATATATGTACCAATCTGTTAATAAACAATTAAAAGTAATGTTTTCTAATTTAATACTGTTTACATATTCCATTAATTTGAATTTTCCAGTACTCCGTCACTCTTAGGTTTTTAATCGTGCCGGATTAATGAGATTTTACAATAGTTATTAAGAAATATCGAAATAGTAGCATTATCATTAAATATGTTTATCTCGAAAACAGACCGTTGTGCCGATAGCACCTTCACTGACGGAAAAACACAAAATTCTTAAAAATGTCTATCAAAAAGGAGTAGACCTGCAAATATTTTTTTTTTGCTGACCAAGACTGCCGAAGGTGCTCTGGATCCCCAGATTAGTCATTAATGAATTGAATACATTAGTTGAAACAGCTTCAAATGAAATAACCTTTACCCAAAAATTATTCAAATTTAATTAAACCAAAAGTTATAAAAAAAATCGATTTAAAACTCTCAAATTCTAAATTAAAAAAATTATATAAACATGTGGCGTTATATTTGAAATACCTACCAAAATCCAATAGATTGCTCACCATTTTCTGAACTCCCTGTATAGAACTCGTGGATATCACAGTTTTTAATATTACAATTTAAAATTGAAAATAATTTAGAAATAATTATGTTGGGAATTTGTGAATACAGTAGAACCTCGGTTATCCGACCTCGCTTTATCCGTCCTCCCGATTTACCGACATCGTGGCCAAACGGCGATTCCATGTTAACCGACGTTCATCTGTATTATCCGACGTCCGATGACCTATACCCGATTTCTGCTGTTTTATTTCTTAAAAAAATAATAAAAATAAATGAACCCGGATTATCCGATTTTTTCCATTATCCGAAGTGCCGGTCCATAATAGGTCGGATAATCGAGGTTCTACCGTATATCGATATATTTGATACTACTTCGAAAAGAACAAAATGCCGCTAAAAAAAATGAGATGTGTCTTCTACAACAACTTGAAAAAATAAACGAAGATTACTTATAAATTTATATTACCACCAAATCATTTAAAAACTTAATTCAGGGTATATTCAACGCAATCATTTCTCTTAAATGATATATTTTGTAAAAAGATGCTAAATTTGAATCACTTTTCTAGTCTATTCCGAATCAGCTATACCTACTTTTCCATGCTTGTATCACCACTGGCATATCACAAATGAAAACTATTTTACACTCGATAAATGGCAACAAATATACATTTATACAACAATTACCCATAATACAATTACAATAATCTGCGCAACTGGTCTCTATAAAACAAAATAGTCTAGCGTTAAAAAAATATAAATAACTTTGATATAGTTTAGCTTAACATTAACAACGAAGCACATGCAGCGCACCTGCAATTTTTTCTACATTATACATTATTCATATAGTATATTTAAAACAATTCAAGGATATTCTGTACAAAAATATAGTTTTGCTGGAGGGCTCTGTAGATATAAAAAAAGTTGGGTATCCACGTAAAATCTTTAAATTAAGTACACTAAAATAATTTTCCATAATGTCGATAACAAAATAATATCGATAATTTACATAAAAAAAAAACTAATTTACTTATTCGGCGTTTGGATCGAAGAATAAAGCCGAAACTGCAAAGACTAAGAATACTACTCCACCAATAATAGTAACTGAAAGAAAGGTTTCGTAAGTTTTACACAAAAAAATATACATTCAAAATTACCTGTCCTTACTGATATCTTCTGGGCTATCATTCTACCACCTAATACTGCAACACCAGTGCATATGGAGTGCCCCAAAATGCCTCCTACTATCACCCCATAAACATTCTATAAATGAAAATTCTTTCTTTAATGATAATTTTATCTACAACGCAAATAAAATGTCAATCTCGCATCACCAATTAAAAACACTTGAAATTTCGAGTGCCTTTTTATACAGGGCTATCCATTTTGGGAAAAATGTTCCAGACAAATGTGTAGGAATTTTTACCTGGCTATCTGATGGTGACCTTGGATTTGACCTTCAAGGTCATTTGAAGGTCATGTTAAGTTTTTTAAACGGAAACCTCTATTTTTTATTGCGGATTTGGAAAGAGCAAGAAATTTTACGTTTAACTATGACCTTGACCAATTCCTTGACCATGACCTTGAAGGTCAAATGTGGGTCGAGTTCCAAAAGTCCTGACGTCAGTACTCCCGACCAGAGGTGCTAATGCAGCGAAAGTAACTGTTTTTCGAGTATCCTCAAAAGGCATTAACTTAGAGGACAGAAACACCCGTGTACAGGTGGCTGGCAATATTTAAAAAAAAATCAACCAATTTATGCCAAATTTGGTATACGGGGGTTTTTGAGGTCACTGATCACAAATCTAAAATCAGTTTTTGAAAATTCGTAATCTAAGATGGCAGACAACATTTTTAAAATGAGTTTTGGTACCATCAAGATGGTGCACCTGCTCATTTTCGAGCGATTAAAAGAAACTACCTAGATGTAGTATTTAATAATCGTTGGATAGGTCAGAGAAGAACTATTGAGGGGCCAGTTAGGTCCCCTAATCTGTGTCCACTTGACTTTTTTTTTTGGGGCTACATAAAAAATAAAGTGTACGCTCCTAAACCACGAGATTTAGAAGATCTAAAACAAAAAATAGTCGATGTTTGTGCTGAAAATACACCTGATATGATAAGGAGTGCAACTGAAAATTCTTATGTCCGTCTAGGAATCTGCCAAAATGTTGATAGATAACATTTTGACCACAGGTTGTAAGCCTTGTCTTAACTGGCCGGGCTATCTTCTTGCCTTAACTGACTGGGATCGCTAGCTACCCTACAGTGACTGAAATTTTTTTAAATTTTTGAAAAAATCTTTTTAAAATGACCCTCAAATACTGGTTCAAGGCCAAGAGCTTGATTATGGTCATATTCTTTGTAACATATAAAAAAATAATAGTTAATGTAAATAAATTAACCTGACTTTGACATGATCTTGAAAGTCATTGTTAAAGTCGTAGTCGAAGTCGTACTTGAAGGTTAAATTTCAGCTTTTTCCAAATCCGTAATAAAAAAATAGGGGTTACCAATGATAAAACAACTTTGACCTTGAAAGTCATTGTCAAAGTTATGGTCAAGACCATGTTTGGATGTAAAATTTCCTGCTCTTTCCAAATCCGCAATAAAAAATAGGGGTTCCCATTTAAAAAACTTAACTTGACCTTGAAGGTCAAAGTCAAGGTCAAATCCAAGGTCACCATCAGATAGCCAGGGAAAAATCCTTACAAATTTGTCTGGAACATTTTTTCCCAAAATGCATTGTTCGAAAGTTTTTCTGCCGTACCTGGACTTTTGGATAGCCCTCTATATTAGGTATCAACGAACACAATTTTAGGAAAATACAGTGGAGTTTGGTTGTAACAACACACAAATGACAGTGAAATTTCCTCTTATTAAACAGATAATACAATAAACAAACTGAAAATAAATCTTTATGAATGATGTCATAATAATAATCAAAATCTGCTATATTCAGAATAAACTTAGATTAGCTTAGTAAAATGTAAGTATAAAAGCTAATAAAAAGTGTATAATTTGGGAATTAAATTTTATCATAACAGATGAATTGTACTGTTAAACTATTAAAATTTTGTATACAGGCACATTTTACGGAAAGTAATAAGTAAACTGGATTTGTCGTACAAACAAGGGTCCGTTTATCAAAAGATAAATGATGATGTCTCATACTTTAGCGACCAGACTTGGTTTAGTTAAATCGTAGTTAAATTTACTAAGATAAATCTACCTTAAATGGATCTAATATTAACTTCAATACAATACAACCTAATTAACAGGTATAAACAATATTTACGACATTTATCCGAACCACACAAGGATTTAATAAAACGTTATTAACAAGTATATATACAGATCCATTTAAGAGTCCTCACAGGTATACCTATTTAGAAAAATTTAAATATTTAGAAAAAAAATATTCCTAATTTTTAAATATCTCACTGATCTATGATTAAAAAAAATAGAAGACAAGTAATCACATACATCTAACAGTTATTCTGGATTTCTTTTTGTATTTCAAATATCCTCAGATTAATGGGTTCTTAAAACCTCTGGTCCGTTGTTTTATTTTAATAATTGATTTTTAATACTTTTTTTATTGAATTAAATATTAATTAAATAATTTCATTGAATTATTCAAACTCAAGAACCATGAAAGGTAAACGTTTACTTTTTGTTGTCAAAATAAAGAAAATTGAAGGCTTTATTATTACACCTCATAAAATACAGGACGTTTTGGCTAAAAATAATTTTAAAAAATATTTAATATTCAGCATAACATTTTGAACACCCTGTACAAAATATGTTCGATTATTATTTTCCTATGAAATAGAAAATTCTCTAAAATTTTATGAAAGACTATTATCTCCTGATGCAGTAAGTATAGAAATTTAAATGAACAATTCCTAATGTGTGAAAAATATTTTGGAAAATCGTAACTTGCAACACAATACTTAAAGCCAGGTGAGAAGGTAAGACTATGGTAGGAGAAGGGGCCACACTGTTTCGATAAGAATGTTAGATTGAATTTATTACCTCACGTGCTCCCAAAATAATCGTCGTTAGCTGTGACCTATCACCCCATTCCGCTAAAAAGGTTAGGGTGAACGCTTGCAAAACTATCCTGAACACTTCGTACCACGCTGACTTCTTCTTGGCGCTACTACTGTTACTGCCAGTTTCCACGTCCGGATTGCGTTCTCTATCCCTCTATCAACATAAAACATCCTATAGTTTCACAAACCATTATTAACGATTAAAAAAAGCACTGAAATACCCACCTCTTCATCTCGCTGCCTCAACTCCATCTGGACTTCTTCCAGTTCCTCTTGACCCTCATTAGGAGACATCTGGCAACCTTCCTTTAACATTTTCAAGCCGAAAAGAGCAAACAACGCAGTACTAATATAGTATGTGTACGCCCTTGGTATCACATTTACGAGCCATCCAAATAGCGCTGTAACAATAAAATGGTTAACTCCAACTATTTGATGCATATTCCTTGTTATTAATCTTTTTTCAATTCTATTAAATTTTGAACACAAACTAAGATGAGGCTTGGTAAATAATAAAAATATAAGTTAAAATATTTACTTCCCAATAAATAATAAATATTATATACTAAGTTTACCATTACAGATAAAAGCGAGCAGCAATTATAAGTTTTAAACATGCATGCATTCATAATAAATCTACTATAACCATTTATAACTTATTTTAGAAATTGGCTCCGATATTTAAGCTTAAACACGTCAAGTTTGATTTCAAATATTGTCTGTATTTTACAATATAGGTACTATATATATTTTGATCATCAGATTTATATTAAATTTATTACTTACATGCTTTTAAGATTTATGTAATTTAATTATTGTTATACCTAGAAACAAATAAACATATCCAAAGTATCATTTTTAGCCAGTAAAAAATAAATTAGGAGATTTTTTTAAGTATAAATAATTGTAAAACTATGCTATCTAAAATTTGTATCCACTAATTGTTCGTAAAGTGACGAAAGTAGGCGATATCCTCTTAAACACTTTTATTATCTGTTATTAAATGAATTGATTAGTTAACATTTTCTAATGAGATATTAATCATTATCTCCACCTATATATGATGTCCCAGAAATAAATGCCAATATTTTAACTAAGTATTTAACTCATTAAAGTCATTTTTAACAATTTTTTTTTAAACTCACATTTTTGTGATATTTTGCATCCATTAAAATAATGGTAACGAGCTGCCTATGAATTAAAGATACACTTAAGTTATGTATCCAAATGTTTTATGGAATGTTCACTATCTTAAAATTTATTGCTAGCATAAATATTAAATACTAGCACTAATTAATTCCTATTGTTGAGCTTGTTTTTATTTATCAATAACATTTACGAGACACCCTGTATATTTTTTAATGTTTGAAATTAAAAAAATACCTTTTAAATAGACCTTCCAATTAACAGTACAAAGTTTTTAACAAATTCAGAGTAATATTCAAATGAAACAATTACTTTATTCACCATCAGGTGAAAAAAACAAAGAATCATGGAAATCATAAACTATATCGTTCCAAATAGTTACAAATTTATACATACTGTATTAAATATATCAGTTAATGACTTTCCAGCTGATACTAGATTGATAACAATTCTTTGTGTCTGTATTTTTATTTTAAACTTATTGTCGTTATTACTAAACCAAACCTTTCAAAAACATTGTATTAAGCAATAAGGGTGTAACATGAAAATAAACTTTATTATCTGGGTTATCTTTTCTGAGATTTTTAACACCACACTGATAAAAATTGAATCAACAAACTAAGTTCTTTGACTGTGTGAATGTAATTCACATAAGTAATCCAAAATGTTTTTACCTGATAAAACAGTCATCAGCACCAAAGCCGATATCGCTCCTAAGAACACTGTAAGCCGGGGATGCCTCATAGCCATAATAGCAGCTATGAAAAAGGTTTTGTCTCCAATTTCGGAGACAAGTATGACACTAATACTGGCCACAAAAGCATGGAGGAAACCCACATTTTCCAATTTGGCTGGGAGTCCAGTAGACCCAGGATTTGCCTACAATTAAAAAAAAACTTAAATATGCTTCTACATTGAAAAATGTTACCTTACAACAGTAGGTTTGACTTCTTCGACTTCTTTCGGTTCTACTTCTGCTGCTGTTAGTGTAAAATATGTTAGAAGCACAATGCTGCATTTTAAAACTAAATTTAAAAAGGTACTCCACTTGCTTTTCATTATTGTTGACTATTTTTGTTAATACTTTCACTTACAAATATTATTATACAAAATATTTAATAAACCGGTGATTAATATATCAGCACGTTTTGGTCATTATTAAGTGGTTTTTATATATTTAATCCACAATTAAAATAACACTAATTTAAACAATCAATCTTTAATAATACTATTAATAGCTCATATTGGAAATTGAAGTTTAAGTTTCCTGTACGCAACACTTTTACGATATATTTTGACAGCGAATAGCCAACACTGAAGTTCACATTCGCATGTCAAATTTCAGTGGGAAGTGTTTGAAGTAACGTAGCGTTTATTTATATAAATCCTTAGTACTCTTTCTTATCTTAGTACCCTTGTAGATGATTGGTAGATTAAATCATGAGTGGATAACGTATAGCTCATTCATTATTTTTCCTGCGTGCTCTATTTTGCTACGGATTGTACAATTTAAAAAATTCGATCTGCGCAGAGATGGATTTCTCTTAAAGGTCTCAGTTTATTTAAGATAGGAAGGAATATTGAATATCTCCATCCAAGAAAGGACTTTTACTTGAGTTCTTATCCGACAGCTACGAATTTGGAAACTCAGAATCTCAAAACACACAAAATTACAATGTGGATTTTGATTCAATGTCTAGTTATTAGGCTTGTTTTGTTTCTATAAGCGGACAGACATAGAACAGTTTAGAATAGTTACCCAACTGTATTGTTAGTTTGTCTTGACTTTAGATATGTTATCAACAAATTTGAACCGTCCCAGAACCTTTCTTTGTCGGAACCAAAACACGCCTTAGATCAGTTCAATTAAAGTCTTTCCGAAGTCAGTTAAACATGTATAAAAACGCCTAGCAATAAAATTTAATGAGTTTCATAGGCATCCCTAAAAAAGTTTTCTGCTAAAGGTAAAAACTTATAATAATTTGTAGATATAATGTGTAGAAAATTTCTATTATATGTTCATTTAACCAACAGCATATTTTAATTATTTACGTCCTCAAACAATTTTATTATATTGATGGTAAAATTTCATTTTATTCCGCTTCAAAAGGTCTCCAAAATGCCATGTTGTAATAATATTAGTAAACAAAAAAATCTCTCTTATTTCTCCCTTTCTCAATTGTAATATGAATGATTAATAGAAGGAAGTAAATTAAAATTATCTGAATCACACCAAATTCGGCATTGCTGTACTGCACTGCTAGGCCATTTGTTGACAACTGAACTTATGGCCAGGTCGCCCAGTGCGGCTGTGTTTGTGCCGCGTTTACCCGCGCTCTCATTCTTCAACTGGGCGACCAGACCTGTATATGGGTATGGCTAAATAAATATGGGAACAAGTTTTTCAAATATTTCAATGCCGAGTTACTGCGTCAGCTGCTACCGAACCTGGTACATACTGCCAACTTCTTGGTTCTTCAGTTGAGATCTGAAAGACTTATATAAAATCCTCGACAGGAAAAATAAAAAATTAAAAAAAAGTCTGTCGATGTTTCATCGTATTTTAAAACAGCTTATGTGTAATGAAATGACTGACGTACACGTGCTACAAAAGTCTTAAAAATAGGCAAATGTAATTCTTATTTTGGTGTCTTAATTAATTTCACTAAGATGAATCTAACAATAATGTTCTCAGTACTTAAGATATATCAAATCTACACACACAATCAATTGATTGATTTATCGTGCACGTATTTAGATACCTATTTATTAGTTTAAACTGTATAGGTACTTAAAATCAGATAAGGTTATTTCAGTTTCAATCATGTAATTTTTTCTCAAAATAGAGGGTATTTTATTATTTTTGACTAACATAATTTTTAATTATATCCATAGTACTAACTTCCTTGAATATTATTATCTCCTTTGGTTGATTTCATCTTCCACATTCAGTCCTTCATGGAAAGAACTAAGTACCTGTATGGAGGTCAATTGAAATTGGACCTCCTGGGGGATCATAAAACTCATCACTCCTTATAAGAAAAACTTATTTATAAACGCAATGTCATAATGTCATTATTGTCTAGAACTGGGAAACAGCAAACGAATTTTAGTTTAATCCCATTCAATTAAAATTATATTTTTCTGGAATTTGAAGTCTTGCTTTATTGATAGAAATAAAGAGGTTTTTGGAAAAATCACTTATAATTTCTTATTGTAGCACCCTGCTCCTACTATTTTCTTAATCAGAGCACTTAAATAAGGAAGCTTTAATGAGTTCTTCTGGAAAATACAAAATTATATAGATACCTACTACAAAAATTTTAGATTTACAATTAGAAGCGAAGTGCTTTTTACGTATATAATTAGAATATGAGATGTTTCCTTTTACCAAAATTAAATATAAGGTATAGGTACGTCCATATAAAAAGTTACATTTTGGAAAGTACCTAACATATGCATGACTATAATTATTATGTATTATGTAGGTACCTATTATGCATATACCTATTATTCAATACCCCAAAATGTAAGTAACTGTATAGTTCTCCATATTTTATATAAATAGAAAACTATTATTCTTACTTTCAGTAGCAATGTCAGTAACAAGTCGAATTGACAAAATTATGACTAAAATTGTAAGTAATATACACTCACCGACATAAGTTTAAAGAATAATAATTTTTATCGTCTCATCTTAATCTGATTATTTCTTTATAACTTGTGAATAATATTATCAATTTTTAAGTCCATGTTTTGAGCCTTGTTAAAAGATTTGCAACGTGCAATGTACAGGTGAAAAAATATATTCTAATTTTTTTTCTCAACTTCAAGACGCTCTGACTGCATGATTCTGTGTTAATTTTATTTGTTAACAATGACTCATTCTTTCTTAACATTTAAACTTTTACTCAACAAATGTATCGAATTTTAAGTCGATGAGTGTTTGCATGTACATGTATTTAGTTTCTAATATGAATTTAAAATTGAACATTTTTTTTCCAGATATTGTTATTTTATATTTCAAATACGTTAATAGTCGCCCAAGCGTTTTTTATCAATGGTAGAGACATTCGAAGATTTTTCGGAATTGCTCCCAGCTTCTACGATATTTATAAAAATGAAGCTAGTCAAAATCACCCACATGACGACAATGAGGAAATAAGGTCACAGTACCCCACTCAGTATCAGAAATATGAAAATAACATTAATGAAAAATTGCCTTCTACTTACTACAAGATTCGTCCATCACAAAATGTATTCAAGTACCTCAGAGAATATTCTACAAAGCAGGAAAACACTATCCCTTATACCCATAATGAGGCTAAAAATTATGATGTGCAACATGCCCACTATATTGAAAGGACCAAAAATACTTCAAATGAGAGCAATCCGAAAATCTATCTCCAGCTTCCCTCAACATTGAGTAAATTTCAAATGTCAGCGATCAAAAATAATAAGGAGGCTAATGAAGAATCAGATACAGCTGACGTTGATGGCAAAAACTTAATATCTGGTGTTTTAGTAGCATTACCTAATTTTAATATCAAAGAATTACCTAGTGAACGAAACTATTTGAAAAGCAAAAACAATGATAAATATTTTATTAAAGCGTTGTTTAGTAACACACCACAGCCTGTACACGCTGAAGAAACCAACGAATCAGACAATATTTTCTTCAGATAAAATTAATATACTTAGTTTTTTTGGGCGTATATTGTATTTTTATTGAAAATTTTATATTAAAAATTAATAATCATGAATATTACCAAAAAAAGTGGATAATTAGTTTAAAAAAAAAAAATAAGTAAAAAAGTTTTTATAAATATGTGACCCAAAAATATAATATGATAAATACAGAAAATGTATCATTAAAAATATGAATAAAATTCCTTTCTGTTTTGATTATTTACAAAACATTTTGTTATATTTTTATCACATACAGTTTTGATAACTTGACACGTGTTTACATTTCACTTACCTGTTCCCTTTAACTCAAATTTATATTTATTTAAGCGACAACACCAAATTTTCAAAGCAGCAGAAGTGATTTGAAACTTACACCAATTTTTTACTCTAGAGTTATGCAGTGTAAGTTGTAGTCGATGCTTTGGACACTTCCAATCCCAGCTTTTTTTTTCAGATGACAGACATCAGACAATGACATTTGACATTGCATTTGACATTTAGTATTTCACATTTGACATTCCAAGCTAAATAAGATTGCCGAATCATAGCGAGTGCAGCAGTGCTAAACAATAATTGTGAAAAATAAGCAATTAATTGAAAATTTATAAAAAATGGTTTGTATATATTATATTTAATATAAACTTTAATCATTTTAAATTGCTTTGCCTTAGTTTTACATATTACTTTAATTGAAAACTAAATACAATCACTTTTTCAGAGTTTTGCACTTCCTTCAGTAAAACCAAAACCCAGCTTACCTGAGAGCTTTGACATACATGAAGGGTCTTTAGGTGTGCCGGATTTAATGACAAATGGATTGGCTTCTGCAAGATGCAGCGTAGATGCGTCCCACCCTGTGGCTCTATCCGAATTAAATGTAAGTATAATATTAGTGATGGGAGAATTTTGATGAGACACACCTACTTTATGAATTTAAAATTAAATTTACTCTCACACTGCTGGTGCAATGTTCAGTCTTCTAACAGATTTTATAATGACCAAGACTTTTTGTATCTGAGATTAAAAGACTATATTTCTATATGTATTTTCAGTATAGAAAAAATGTAGATAAAATGAATATGACAGTCCTCCGTAACACTCAAGGACTACACGCACCGTTAAGAATTACTATGGAGTTAAAATCTGCCCAGAAAATTGGCCGTTTACCATTCTTGCAGTCATCTAATGTAATGTATGATGTATTGACTGGTAGAGACTTGGAAATTGGACCAGAAGACATATTTAACACTCCAGAATTTTTGGAAATATCCGGCCAACCTCATGCTATGGTGGAACGGTCTTTAGGTTTATTGTAGATATATTATTAGAAAAAATGTAGTATTATGGTTTTACAAATAAAATTATAATTTAGATTATCATTTTTTATATTTATAAAAACTATCACAAAATAATTTTCATTTTTGGTTTAAAATGAGACAATAATTATTTGTCCGACTCCAGTGGTGGTAATATCTTTTGGATCCACTGAAGAAGACCTTCCATCTCATTTTTCTTCAGTTCGTGCATTGTATTCTGTAAAGGAATAAATTCGCCATTTATTCCAATGTTTGTCAGATCTTTATGAGTTTTCTGGCCCCAAGATATTGGTACTAACGTATCTCTATCACCGTGACACATGTATAGAGGTGTTTCTAATGCTTTGGGTTCGTTAAAAACGGCAGATTTGTTGTTTAGGAATGATGAGAGTGTAAAAACACCTGCTAGTCCAGGGTTAAAACGATAAGCCGTATGTAAAGCTAAAGCTCCTCCCATAGAAAATCCCCCTGAAAATGTTCGTTTTTACTAAGACTTACATTTAATAAGAGAAAAAGCAACAGGGTAAATTTTTATAAAAATAAAGTACCTGCCTATTATTATTCTGTTAAGAGGAACACCAGACTCGACAACTTTATTAATAAACATTTTTATTTCACCACCAATAGACTCTAAAGTTTCCTTGTGTTCTGGGACATCTGGTGTAATATCGTATCTATCAAACCACACATTGCTTAACTAAAAATCAACTTTGTTTAGTTTTAAATTTACTATTATTATTTTTCCCCATTGTTTACTTCTCCTTGTAGTGGAGTATATGGCCGTAATGGGGCTGTTGGAAAATAAAAATTGATGTGAGGCAAGGAAAAGTCTCCCGTAAGAAATTTTATCCAATTCAATATACCTTGGCCAGTGTCTCCTAAAAAGAAAAATTGCATTGCTAGAAATACCTCACAAGGGTATGATTAAAAATAGTGAATAGATATTTTATAATCTCATCCCTAACCTCAATAAAATGACCTACACATATTACATTGCAAGTAGTATATTTACCTGATCCATGTAAGAAAATTACAGAAGCAGAGCTAACCTTATTGCTTTGCTTAACTATACGTAGAGTTCCCAATGACATTTCTTATAAACAAAATTTTTGGTAATTTTATGCTTATCTAACCTGTTAAATTTTGACTTTGAGCACAAAAATAAAAATGCAAGATATAATACACATGTGTGATATGTGTTGCTGTTTATATATTTGCATAGAAGTTAGACAATTTGCAATTACTTGGAGTTGTATTGTTGGTTGCCTACATACAACGATTTCTGAAAATCGTCATTTGTTTTGTTCAAATTTGTATTCAACAAAAATTAAGAAAGGATATTTTAGAATTGCATTTTACCATAACCTTGAATCCCACAAAAAAAACTATCGTATCAATTTTTGCTTATACTTTAAGTCTATTCAAAAATTCCATAGGTATACTTACTATTTTACTATTTGTAAATTTTCTCTAGCTTTTCAAATATGACGCCTTGTATATACAATCATACAAATTTTAAATAATTTAGATAAAATAAATATGACCATAACACTCAAGGACTACACGCAGGGTTAAGAATTGCTATGGAGCTAGAATCTACCCAAAAAATTGTCATCTAATGTAATGCATGATGTATTGACTGATACTAGAGACTTGGAAATTGGACCAAGGTATATTTAACATTCCAGAATTTTTGGAAGTATCCGGCCAACCTTATGCTATGCTGGAACGTTCTGTAGGTTTATTGTAGATAATTATATTATTATTAATGGAAATTTTGTATTATTATGGTTTTATGAATAAAATTATAATTCAATTATCATATTTTATATTTACGAGTATAAGAACTATCACAAAATAATTTTCATTTTTGGTTTAAAATGGGAGCCAATAATTATTTGTCCGACTCCAGTGGTGGTAATATCTTTTGGATCCACTGAAGAAGACCTTCGATCTCATTTTTATTTAGTTCGTGCATTGTATTCTCTATTGGAATAAATTTGCCACTTATTCCAATTTTCGTTAGTTCTTTATAAGTTTTTTGGCCCCAAGATATAGGTACTAATGTATCTCTATCGCCATGACACATGTATAGAGGTGTTTCTAATGCTTTAGGTTCATTAAAAACTGCAGATTTATTGTTTAGGAATGATGAGAGTGTAAAAACACCTGCTAGTCCAGGGTTAAAACGATAAGCCGTATGTAAAGCTAAAGCTCCTCCCATAGAAAATCCCCCTGAAAATGTTCGTTTTTACTAAGACTTACATTTAATAAGACAAAAAGGCAACAGAGCAATTTTTATGAAACTAAAGTACCTGCCTATTATTATTCTGTTAAGAGGTACACCAGACTCGACAACTTTATTAATAAATATTTTCATTTCACCACCAATAGACTCAAAAGTTTCCTTGTGTTCTGGAACATCTGGTGTAATATCGTATCTATCAAACCACACATTGCTTAACTAAAAATCAGTATTGTTTAGTTTTAAGTTTACTACTATTATTTTTCCCCTTTGTTTACTTTTCCTTGTAGTGGAGTATATGGCCGTAATGGGGCTGTTGGAAAATAAAAATTGATGTGAGGCAAGGAAAAGTCTCCCATAAGATGTTTTATCCAATGTAATATATAACGTCCAGTTAATCCTAAAAAGAATTGCAATTGCAAATTGTATATCATTGTACATATTAGACTACTAAAAAATTTGTTTCCAATTTTTATAGAAATACCTCTCAAGGATATGATCCCTAACCTCAATAAAATGACTTACACATATTAAATTACAAATATATAATATATTTTATTTACCTGATCCATGTAAGAAAATTACAGAAGCAGAGCTAACCTTATTGCTTTGCTTAACTATGCTTAGAGCTGCTAATGACATTTCTTATAAACAAAATTCGAAATTATATGCTTATCTAACCTGTTAAATTTTGAAAAAAAAAATAAAAATGCAAGATATAATACATAATGTACACGATTACACGAATATTATGTACACACATATTACATAGATTAGGTAGACATTACATATTAATTTATGTGTGATGTGTGTTTATTATTTGTAATATTTACACTATTTGCATAGAAGTTCAGACAATTTGCAATTATTTGGTATTGTATTGCTGGTTGTCTATATACAACGATTTCTGAAATTCGTTAATCACTGTTAATTCGTATTCATCAAAAATTAAGTAAATGTATTTAGAATTGCATTTTACGATACCAATTATTTATAAATTTTCTCTAGCTTTCCAAATGCGACACCTTGTATTTATAATCATCTCACTTTATACATTTTTTAAACTTTCTTTAGCTTTGGTAAGATATTATTAATTCGTTAATTTTGAGGGTATGCATTTCTCCTTTCTATCGTTGAGTGAAGAAGTAGTTAATATTTCCTCACTCAACGTTTCTAAGTATAATAATTTTTGAAACAGAGATTATTACCTGAAATTGTGTTTGTAATTATCCGTTACTAATGCTCTGCTATTAATCTTTTTCTCTATTTGTTGTAAAGTGTAAACTATAAATTGATGCAGTAGGTATTTATAAAATAGGAACATGATTTTGTGAAAATAATAAAAGAGTTTGTTTTATCAAAATACAAAATTTATTAAATTTTCTTTATAAAAATCCTAACTACAGACTACCTGCTGGAAATAAATAAAAATAAATAAATTAATAAATAAAAGCAATTGACTATCTACAGTTATTGTACATGTCTAAGTATATCACAAATGAATCAATTTCCACACAAACTGTCAGAAGGAAAATACTCCTTTATCAACGACACAAACCGATCCAGAGGACACAGAGTATCACAGCCAGGCATTTTGAGCACTTCCGGCCCGTAGCCATCATAATTTTCATAAACAATTTTAATTTTATACTGATTACTAATCTTATGGAGTTCGATGACGGCGTATGCTCCGTAATTTGGAACATGAGGTTTGAAAACACCCAGAGATATAAGGAGTTCGGCCACGTTGTTCTCATGAGCTGAGTACAAGTGAATCTTTCTTCCCAGGCGGTTGCCATCAACAATCTTTCTCTTGGCGTCTTCTACTATTTTCTTGAGCAAATATCCAGCTGCCATTCTTCTCATATCCGTAGTGGCCATGGAGACGTAGTATTCCTTGATGGCCAAATTTACGATGGTATCTGGCCATACTGCATTCGTCCAGGCTGGAAGAATAAACCCGTATTCACTTTCCGTAGAAAGTCCGAAGTATAGCTGGTACACATCAAGGAAACTAGTGACGTTTAGACCACTGTTCCTCGAGATGTAGTCGAATTGCTTCTTAAATTTTTTGAATGTGGCCTGCATCTTCGGTGAAGAGCTGTATTTTTCGTAAATTTGCGTGTAACGTGGACATTGTACGCCGATCAGAAGCTACAAGTAGAAAATAATATCTATTAGAATTTCATTATGTACAGTACAATTAGTGTGTAATATTTTACCAGCGGAATATACGATAAAAATAAGTGAAAAAAATTTCGGACTGGGAAAAAATATTAAAATTTGAGTGGATTTAAATAATTAATGTAAAATAGTACAAAAATAGATACTAAATTCGATCCAATAAGGTTTTAAACTGGGGAAATTATGACTTCATTTTACTGTAACTCTTTTGTATTTGGACTATTTTATCAGAATAATGCAGTTTTTCAAAAATTTGAATAGAGACTTTATTTCGAAAAAGGGAAGTTTACTACGGTCGAATTTAGTTACTCTGGATAGTAATGGATGGGCCCATAGGATTTACAAGCTTGTGGTTACGTTTGGGAAAACCTGTAAGCGTCGATTCTACTATTTTCTCTGTTACACCATGTTAAAAACAATTATTTTTGAAAATCTATCAAAATGTTGTACCTTTTCATTACAAAACTCAAATAAAATTGTCTATAAAAATGTTGGATCAATATTTATCCTTCCAGTTTTATACTATGATTAAAATAAATTTCCAAATAGTAATGTTCATATTCAAATTTCATTGATTCACCTTAGTAGATTCTTGTATTTCGATTGAAATCGCATGTGCTTTTAACTTACTTTGTCTTGTGATCGCGGGACATAGTTGTATGGGACAGGTTGCCAGTAAATGTTGGGTTGCAACATATCTTCCTTTCTTGGCGGAAAGAGCCCAGCCAAAACTAGTTGTAGGGACATCTTAGTTCTGTTATAATCTGTGCTTAGTGCTTCTACTACTTGAGGGTAATAATATTCGCCCAAGAAGTTGTTGTATCTCTTCCGGAGAGCAGTACCAATAGAAAATTCCCTCTTTTTTCCGGCCTAAAAAAAAAACAGAATTAAAAATTTTATTGTCGACTGAAATGTACCTTTAGGTTAAATGAAACACTAATTTTTCTTTTCTTATATAAAAATGTTAGATATTATCTATTTGACAAAAATAGAAAGTTTTGCTCAAAAGATAAAATAAATAAATAAAAAGATGTATAATAAAATTATGTGGTTAATCTTAAACCGAATATGAAGAATAAGGATAAAGAATCCTTTTTAATATTCATTAATAACTCAACGTCGATTATTTTAATAGGTTTATGAATAGAATTTAGAGTATATACTTGTTAAGATTTGATTATCGAACAAGATATAATTATACTAAGCAAATACTTGTATATTTCATACATTTAATTACAATATAATTGCTTGATTTAATTTAATTCAATAACTAGCCTTAACCAGCTTTCGAGATATTGACTGTACAGCTGTGGACTATAAAAAGTGTCCAACGTAAACTGTTTATTGTCTTTTATAAAACATTGTTTTATCAGTGTCGTTCTCCAAACCTCTTTCTACTTGTACTTACATTTGTTAGTTGTCCAAGGCCATAGGGAAAATATGTTTCATTCAAGTAAGGATCATTAGGATAAAGCTCGGCTTGGCTATCAGCAGTTCTATTACCATGCCTAAAGAGCTAAAAAAACCGGAATCTATTAGAATTTGTTGCTTATAATATGATCATATATTCCAGAAGATTTTTAATAAAAATTGTGTGGAATAATGAAATGAATAAAAGATAGAATTTCTAAATCGCCAAAATAAGAAAAAAATCTGCTTTTCGATTTTGTTTTTTTTCCCGTTTGTTTATTATGTTATAATGGAAAGTTCTCATTAATAATTTAAAAAAATGCAAAAAAGTATTAGATATGTATTTCAAAGTAATAAAACACTCACTTACCACATTCAACAGCACCAAAGTATTCTGATTATCCTCTGGATCAGATGGAAAGACTATACTGTCGTCCTCATCTGAAAAGTAATCGTTTTCAGCACTATCATACAAATGATTTTCGACGTAATCCTTACTAGAGAATTCACACCGTACAACAACCAGTAGCGCACTAAGATGCATCAAGTAACTGACAAGAGACTTCATTTTTACTGTTTAGCACAGAAGTGGTCTAGTTGAAATGATGCTAATGTACAATTAAATCCCCATTTATATATTAATTTTCGTTTACGCAAGTGGTTTTAACGAAACATGGAGGAATTAGGATTTTCTGCTATAATAAAACCATAAATGATTTTTAGATTATCTAAAAGTTACGTGATTGGTTTGCGGTTTCCATAGTAAATATACGAGTAGGTATAGTAAAACTGGATCACACGCTTTCAAGAATTGATGAATTAAAATTGCTAGTGAGTCAGTATATAGTCTGTGGTTTTTCTTTCGTCGAGATTTGCAAAGTGGCCGACCTTCCTTAAATTTAGTAACAAATGAGAAATTTTATAATGTGTACTGGTATAATATATTTCAAGAGTATTGTGAATTAATTTCCATTTCAGCGAAAATTCTACGTAATTCTTTTACTCGAAACAATCTACGTATATTATTTTAATTCTAATTTCTCTGGTAACAGTGAAATTACCTTGAAAGTTATGAAAAATTCTAATACCTAATTAATTTCAGATATGGATTGTGTCACATAGTCAAAAGCCATTTTTAACAAAGTATTCTTTCAAATTTTAAAATATAGTACACATTTTTTTAAAAAAACTGTACATTAGAAATTATCTAAAAAAAATTTTCCATCAAAAATATTTGTTTTTAATTATCTAGTTTAGTTTTTATTATGGAAGTGTGTTTTTTATGGTAAGAGTTACTAGCGAACAAATATTTTCCAAATAGATTTTTTCAACAGTTGTTGTAAACAGAGGCTGGTGCAGTCAGCGGTATCAAAAATATTTTCATGGTATCAATGTGGCAAGTATTAAAAAGTGTATTCTACTTATTCTTTGATTTATTTTCTCTTCAAATATCCTTTCCAAGTTTGTATACACTTTCTATGTATTGGTATACTTTTAGAAGATAAAGAGTAAGTTGAATCTTTTGGGATTTGAAATACTGTGCTATATTTTCTGATAAACCTAAAAATCAAAAAGACCGAATTTAAAAGTGTTGGCATGTGTTTTCTATTCCTTTTGAAATAAAAGACAATCCTTTTCAAAAACTGTAGTTCTTTCTCTGTATACTTATTTTCATAATTTGCGGCTTGACGAAAAATTAAAAAATTAATCAGTTAACCTTTGTGTCCAGCTTTAAGAATGAAAATAGATTCATTTTCGAAATATAAAAAAATATTAATATGAAGATATATAGTGTATATAGATATATAGTATTTTGAATTTTATTATGTACCTATTTTCTTTTTTACAATGTGAGTTTTTGATTAAATAAAAATAATTTCATAATAACAACCCTCGACTGATTCACTCGGTACAAAGTTTGATTTAATTAAATACTTAAATAAACAGAAAAATATTAACATTACGCCATAAATAAATAACTAGGGGCAATATTGCAGTTTATTGCTATATTTCCCACATTTAATTAGATACCTAATTAATCAATTATTTTACATTATCCCTGAAACATAGAAATTAAAATATTTGTTCATTAGTCAGAAATTAGTCAGCTTTATCAGTATATGGACAAATATTGGAAAACAATATTCTTTATATTTCATATTTTGATTGCTCTATTTTGTGTAGTACTTTATATTTTTATATTTAATGTATTTTTCTGTTTTACATTATCTTATAATTGGGATTTTGTCCCATTGGATATTGTAATTTCTAAATTAATATATGTATTATTACTTATATACAGAGTTATTCGTAAGTGAAAAATACAGACCAAGTGCATATAGAGGGCTCTAAAATATGGTGTTATAGAGCAACTTACCTCTATACTAAGCTGGTCCACATAAATCTAAAACTTTTTGTCCGATTTAATAAGATTTGGCATATTGGCAACTCTATAAAACCAATGGTACTAGTAACATAAAATTCCTTAGAGGAATGACTTGTATTCACATCTGATTTTTCTCATTTTGTTTATCTCGGTAGGTTCGCATCTAATTCAATGATCTTCAAATAAGGACAGTTTTTTAAATGATTACTTGTAATTAAAAATGGTGATTATTTTCAACATGTATTTTTATTGTAGATATATTTTATAGGACAAGAAACAAATCTGTTAGATTTGATTAAGCCAACACGAATATACTTTTCAGAGAATATAACCTGTTTCGTTCAATGGGGTATCATAATTTTTGAAAAAAGTAAAAGTAGTGCCACTGATTTGAACTGAAATTTAGATTCTTTACGTTGAATAACCTTTTATTCAGATATTGTTACTGCAAAAGGGTCATTTGTTCAGAAAATATTTAGAGGAATAACGTTATTTTTTAAAACTTTAACAAACTGTATTATATTATAATAGGTACATACAGAAGGCATTATTAAATTTAGATGAGAAAAAGTCTCTTTAATCTTAGATATGTTCTCCAAATGTCTTTCTTGTGGAGCACTCTGAATAAGATCTGATGAGCAGAGATTAAAATGTAAAACGAAAAGCTTTTACTCTATTAAAAGATATATCTATATCTTCATTAATATACGGAACTTACATAAGTAAATATGAATATCTCATCAGTAATTTGGAATTTTGTTTTTCAAATTACGTTAGTAATCAGTGGGTAGATACCTAGTAATTTGGAAAGTCGTTAATCCAAATCAAATTTGTGTTTAGAGAAATACATATCGTTCTTGTGAATGAATGATGTTAATTTGAGCATTTGTTATAATTATTGTTGTCAGTTGCCTTCAATTAAAACAGTGTTTTCTGAAATAAGATCCATATGTACTTTATTATAAAAAAACTTATATGGGAAAAATCACTCTATAATTTCTACGTTTTGTTTTTGCCAAAATTTTCTTTTGTTTCACAATGAATCCCTGTATATTCTAAATGCCGACGTATATATTTTCCCTCTATGATGGCTGACGTTTCGTAGTTCGGAAATTTGAGCCCACCTCATTTCACCACTCCATTACTTTCAGATATTAAAGAACAACAGCTATTACTACTAAAGACAACGTTATGAAGGACGATTACTATGTCATCGAAAATTTTGCATCAAATTACAAGAAAGTTTTGTGCTCCAGTGGAACTGGCATCGACATTAATTGTTGCGTCGTCATTTCCGTTCCGTTCACTCTAATAAAAGTACCTTCCAGTTTTCCCATAATAATTATTGTCCATTGTGTAACCAGGAGCAATTTTAAACCGCATCGCAGCAGGCAATGTCAACGAAATAAGAATCATGGGGAAGTCTCTGTAAGAAAAAAATAAGTGACGGTAACACAGTCAATTGGTGATTAATCAGTTCATTGAATTAGAGTATTATCGCAAATGATCCGGATAAATGTTGTGAGGTGTAACAGGAAGTTCAATTTTGGACTGTCGAAAAAATAAAGAGAATGTTTAGCATTAGTAGCGTACCAATGTTTTGTAAAAAAAATATTTCTATGATGACGTGTGAACATCTTTTATCGCAAAGGATTCCACTTAAATGTATTAAGTCAGTGACATGCAACCATTTCTTCTTAAAAAGTGATTTGATTTCCGACAGAAATTGCATTTTTTATGAAAATTTATTTGAATTACTATTTTTAACATATTTCAGTAAATATCTAACTATTGAAGGAGATTCAAATATCAACTTGCTATTATTACAAAATGAACGATAAATAATAATTATTTATAATTTGCAAAATTTTAATTACCTTTTTTTTAATACACTTATATCCCTAAATTCAATATTTTTATCTTGACAAAGACACAAGGAAATTATACAAACTGCAGAATCTGAGTATAATAATTTTATTAACTTCAGAATTTTTATAAACTAACAATTTTATGTATATAAGATTTTTTCTTAAGGGCACATTTTTTCGTCAAAAATAATTTTTCCTAAAACATTATTACGATCTTTCAACGATTTGAACAAATATTAACCAGTGGCGTCGGGATTAAGAGAGGTCTGAGGGGATTCCAATAAGAATATTTGTGTTTTTGTGCATTTTCACTATAAAAAATATATCATTCATCATTCAATCCGAAAAACCCATGACCATGACAATAATTACACAATAAGACTCTGCATCTTGTAGGTTTTCCCTTGGCACAGTCCTGAAAATGAATCGTATTTGTAGGACTCAATTTTGGATATTCAGAGACTAAGTAAACCTTTGCAATCCTTAAACTTCGGGAGAACTGGAAAGAGGCTGAATCATATTATACGAATCGTCATTATTACGTGAGGAAACAACCAGGAAACCATAAAATAACATATTTTGAAACTTAAAATAAATAGGCGCCATACATCTTAAGAGGAAGTAGAAGATAACATTAGTTTTTTCCAGTAGCAGCGAAAATTTACCATAAACAAATTCCTTGTACTTTGGTTTGATCCATTTGGCACGTGCTCACTTGCAAAATCTGACAGGAAATAACTTCATCATTATGACGTTGTATGAATAATATTATTTCTGATAACGGTGGGGTAAAATAAACGTAAGACGCGACTAAACAAAAAAATCAGACAAGTGTTATTTTATGAAACTATATTTGCCTAGTCAACTATCTGAAAGTCTTAGTCCAGTTGGTTAACGTTTCGACAATCTGTTTTCGTTTTCAAAACTAGAAACGGTTTCTTCTTAAAGTAACAATGTTTAATAGTGGTTTATATAACCTAATATGTATCTATAATTATTACAAAATGTTTCTTGTCTGAAGAATAAGTCAAATTTCCATTCATTAAGATACAGAGCGACAACAATAGGTGTAAAGCTGTTAATTTAATCATCTACAAATTGGCTTTGTGGTATAATACAGGAAACATTTATTCTCTGAGAAATTTTAAAATTAGTACAGAAAATATCTGATCAAAGAATTAATTTTGTGGAAAACCACAAAACCAAATAAATGACGATAACGGCTACTTGCTGTATTGCTACTGCTTATACGTACTGAATCATTATCTTATTATATTTACGTAGGTATTTTATTTTATACTATGTACACATAACATAATAATTCCCTTATCTTTTTTGTCTTTCTATTTAGGAACAAATTGAACAGACAAAAGTTTTAGGAAATTTTCTTGCAACCCAAAAGAAATATTTAAAGAAATTGTTGAATTTCAGAAATATAAATAAAAATTTTGTTTTATTTCCATCTGATAATATATTTTTGATAAACAAAAGCTGAAGGGTGTATTGAAACACGAATTCCAGTGACAAATATTATATAATTACATTGTTTAAAGTTTTTTTTTTACTAAATATACAAGTAGATTTCTAATCGTGATATCAGTATTTCTTTGAAATTCCAATACATTACATTATTTCAAACCATCTAATTAGGACCAAAAAAACTTTACTCAGACTTTCAAAAAGTCGTATACATATAAAAATTGGAGATTCTTTCACATGTTTGGCATTTTCTTCTTCAAATTTATTATTCTAATTTTGGCTAAAATACTACCGCCCACAGAGGTCATCTGGAGGTATATAGTCTTGAACTAAGGTCATGAACTTATCCAACGGACAGAAAACTTCACATTCAGGCATTTTAAGTCTTCGAGGCCCGTCTCCATCGTAATTTTCATAAAATATCATCACGCCGTACACGTTATCAACGCGGTGTATCTCAAGAATGACATAAGCCCCATAGTTTGGCACATGTGGTTCAAAAACCCCCAGAGATATCAGAAGCTCAGCGATGTTATTTTCATGGGCAGAATACAGATGCATCTTTCTTCCGGGTTGCAGGCTGCTGAAAATTTTAGCCTTGGTATCCTCGAGAACCTTATTCAGGAAGTAACCAGTGGCCATTTTTCTCATTTCAGTTCTCGCCATAGCAACGAAGTAGTCCTTGATAGCCAGGGTGGTGATTGTTTCAGGCCAAACAGTTTCCGTCCATTCCGGTAGCTGGAATCCCCATTCTTCTTCCGTTGAAATCCCGAAGTACAAGTTGTACACGTCATAAAATCTCGTCACTTTCAGACCGGTATGTTCCGAAATATAGTCGAATGTTTCTTTAAACTTGGCGAATTCTTCCAGCATCTCGGCAGAATTGCTGACCTCGTCGTAGAGTTCCAGATACTTAGGGCAAAGGGTACCCAGTAACACCTGCAAATAAATACATTTATATTGGAAAGCTGTTCATTTGTTCAATTTGTTGATTTTTTCAATTGTACTTGTGTGGTAGAAGTCAGTCTGTTCAATACCTAAGATATAAATCAATTTTTTTGTCGGGTGTCCCTCAAGGTCCAATACTGGGACCTTCGCTATTTATTTCGTTCATTAACGATATTGTGCACGACCTGCATGTTTTTTACATAAAAAATTAATAATATTGAAATTATTTACATCAATGGACATAGTTTAAATCGCACAGATAAGTTTAAAGATCTGGGAGTAACTTTTGACGCTAAACTCAAATATGCAGGTGTAGTGCAGTCCGCACTACGACATATATACCAATGGTATTGAAGCTATTCAAAGGAAATTTCAAATACCAAAAATTCATTAAAAAATGACATATACGATGTTGCAACTTACTTTATCTTGATGTCTTTGGTGATAATTGTAAGGAACTGGTTGCCAGTAGAGCCCATCTTTCCACATCGAGTCTTCTTGAGGTGGGAACAATCCAGCTAATACCAACTGAAGGGACATCTTGGTTCTGTTGTAGTCAGTACTTACTGCTTCAATTATATTAGGATAGTACTGGTCCCCCAAAAAATAGTCGTACCTGCTTCGTAATGCGGTACCTATAGAGAATTCTTTCCGTTTCCCTGCCTAAATAAAAAATATTTCGTTAGTTTAATTAGTTTTTGATGAATGTATCATAACACGTACGAAAAGTACATGAATGTATGTATGAATCAGTTCTAAATTGCCTTTGAAGACATATCAAGCATTATCAAATGTCAAATATTTATTTCTAGTCGTTCTCAAGACATAGCAAATTAAAGATTACCCTTTTACCCGTCCTTATAAGTGTTATTTTAACAACATTCCTTCCGAAGAATCAATTTAAATCCAAAATAATTGAATGATGCATATTTAAAAATTACAAGAATGGCAAAAGAATATTTCTATAAGGTTAAATTTTAGTGGTGACACCTTTACAAAGTTTGCAAAGGAAAAAGCCCAAAAACTAGGGCTGCTATTTAAAAAAAAGTCCATTCCATACAAACTTTATCAAAAAAAAAAATTGAACCTTACGTTAGTTAGCTGTCCTTTGCCGTAAGGTTGGTAAGTCTCCTCCAGATAGGGATCCTTTGGATATAGTTCAGCTTTGTTGTCAACTGTTCTATTTCCATGTCTGAATATCTATAGGAAATCACGAAATTAACATACCAAAATTATATCAGAAGAAACAACTTACCACATGGGTCAAAATTAAGGTTTCTTCGTTGACTGATACTTCAGGACCCATAATATGATTTTTCCTTGGCAGCGAATTGAGTCTTCTTGAGTAGCAAGCGGCTACAAGTGCAAGGAAGACTAACCAACGACTGAAACTGAACATTGTTTCCACCTAAGTAGGTACTGAAACAATTTTTCAACTAAAGTGAAGACTGCATCTTTGGAATCCTTTATATATACGCGAAAGTCGGGATTAACTTTAGCCAAGATATCAATCAATTGCGAAGATAACGTTGAAAAGGATTTTTACATTCCAATTTTGGATTAAACTCGATATTAAGAATTAAAATCGTTTATAAATAACTATGAGTTCGATAATCCTTTAGAAGGAGACAACTTTGTCTGATTATATACAGAAATGAGATGATATTTTCCTAATTTTCCGTAGAAGTTTTTAAATGTAGAGTACTGAATGAATATTTCCCTCTCCTTTAGTATATTTAATTTTTAAAATATCATCTACTTACTATAAGTTTATTAGTAAACAAATTCCAAACATAATAAATTGAATGAATGCACACAGGTCTATAAGATCACAGATATCTCTTGTCTTTTTCGCATCATTAAAAAAAATCATAATTCATTTTAATGGCCACCACGCTCCCCTGATTTAAGCTCCACTGGATTTTTTTTGTGGAGTTATCTAAAAAGCAGTATGTGAACAGACCAGACACTATCGAAGGATTGAAAAATCTATTAGAGAAGGAGTTCGAAACATAACACCAAATGTTATTCAAAATATAATTGATAATATTGAACACTGAACTGGGCATTGTGCAATGGTTAATGGGGGCCACCTTGAACATTTGCTGTAATAAAATAAAAACTACTAAATTATTGTTTTCATTTAATTCCTACATTTTTTGACAACTGTGACAAAAAAATAGGTATAACCTTTTATCGCTAAATTCATCTTTTATACTATAAAATATAAAGCGTCCTATTCAAATAAATTGTCAGTATTGTTATAAGTATGTCAAACATGGCTAAAACATAAAAAACATAAAACACACCACAGAAATGAGACAACCCCCAAATCCAAAAGCCAAAGGCTTGTGCGGAAGGGGGCTACACTTGAAAAGACGCGGACAAACACCCATTATCCATCGACATTGCCAGTGCCGACACCGGGGATCGAACCCGGACCAGAGTAGGAAGCCTAGCCGAGAAATGCTTGCCACCGCACTCTCGACCGACTGCGCTACCGTGGCGATTAAAAAAATAGAAAATATTGCAAAAAGTGACAAATTTACTAACTGACCTGTTTCAGAGTTTTTTTAAAAATTTCAATTGGAATAATAATATGAATTTTGTTCCATAATTTTGGACACACTGTATATCAAGTGAAACAGAACGAAAAGTAAAATTTACCGTAAGTAAATAATAATATATATAAGAATATGTCTCTACTTAAAAAAATAAAATAGAGTTCAAAATATTTATTTATATCTAGTTATCTATAGTGCGTAGATGTAAATTTTTCCTGGGTATGGAATTTGTGGAATGTTTTATATATAACTAAATCAGTTTGCAGATTCCTGAAGTCTTATCTATAAACATATTTATTTGTTGTTTATTTCAAAACAATAATCTAGAAGCGTCAAAGGATTATTATTAAAAGAAGCAATGTAACATTACTTATAGACATCCGGTACATTTTTTGTATTTATAAGAATTTATTTGATTAAATATTGATAATAATCTAGATTGTTTAACATACGATTTAATGCAATTACTGATACACTAAAAATTTGTCAAGTTAAGTCCTGCTCAAACACGTTTTGTATAGTTTAAATAACTTCATAATACCTACTCACAGATCATACAAAATTTTTTATATATTGGCATTATCTTGACATCTTGATAATGCAATTTTATAAATTACAGCCATCATGTAGCTTAATCAAATGAAAAAATCGATCGAAGAAAATCTTACAGATTAGGCTTAAATCATCGCGTTCTGTTAATGACATATCAAATTTGCGCATACAATTGATTGTTCAGCCTGATGTTATCAAATCACTAGGGCAGTGAGTGCAAAAACAAGAATATGATGCGCAATAGGCTTCTGTGTATTTTGAGACGTCCGAAAATTTTTAATCATAGATTAACTACTACACCAGTAAACAGATAAAAAACTGGAGTCTGAAATATTACACGGATAGTATGTTAAGATATTAACTTTTTTAAAATTACTGACGTCTTATCACTTTACCAAAAAATTGTTGCGTTTTAAACAGTTTTTAGAACTTTTTAGCAGCAACATGGCACGGCTTGAACTTTTTTACTTTTAGTAGTTAATAATTAAAAATTCAAAAACTATCAACATCGTCAGTCAGGGACCATAGAAGAAAGGTTCTATTTTCTGAACAGACAGGGATTTAGAATGTAGCTAACCAGATAAGAAATGATCCAAATCTCATCCATGTGGTTATTAAAGGTTAACTAATGTTTACACTTTAAACACAAATAATAATTATTGTTTTAGAAACCATCATTTTTATTTATCAGTCTACTTTGATTGAAATATGAAATTATATTTTTTTAAATGCTTGTAACTTCTAAACAAAAACGAATCGGACCTAAATTCATATAAGAAAAAACTGTTTGACATTAACCCATCTACCATTTGTCATAGTTTGTCATAGAGCTTGTAGAACACCCTGTATATGGCTAATGTTTTAAAAATAATATTAAACAACAAAATGAGGAAAATTTTCAGTTTAATCCTCACATTTTCTACTCTTTTTATTATAATAATCATTTTTTAGGAAAAATATTAGGTATTAAATTCAAAGGAAAAATGCTATTTTTAGTTTCTTGTGGCTCACTTCCCTGGCCATCACATAACTCCTCAGATGGAATGTACTCGGCAACCAGCGACTGAAACTTGTCCCAAGGGCATAATTCTTCGCAGGCGGGCAATTTCAAAAGCTTGATGTTTTTGGAAAGATGATTCTGATAATAAATCTAAAAATAAAGGCATTTAATTGTTGTTGCAATTACAATAATGAATTTTACGTAGTTGCATATGTTAATACCTCATTAATAACACGCAATTGCTGTTGGGAAATACATTGGATACATTAATACCTGAATATGCACTTTGATCTTGTTAACAGTGTAATTGCATCGGGAAAAAATCTAACAAAGTTTTCATGACTGTTCAATTGCTTATATCCAATGTTTTCTTAAAAAAAATTGCAAAACAGATGTACCTGAAAATGTTTTTTAACCGTCCTTTTTTGAGACTACATTACTGTATCTTCTACTTGTTTTACGAGACGAATAAGGTTGAAAATGATAAGAAAACGAACTTGAAACAGTGTATGTCGCTTTATAACATTTATAGCGACTACTTCCCTATTAGAGAACGCTCTGTTGGCAAAACAGCATTAGTGGTCAAGGCCTTGGTTACACCGAGTAGAAAAAGGCAACTTAAATTTAAGTAACAAATAATTCCAAGATGATCTAAACCAATTTAAGTCATTTTTAATGATTTTTATCATAAACGCTGTTGGTATTATAGAGAGGGTGGCGTGTATAACCAATAAAAATTAAACTGATGATATTTGTAATAGAAAAGTCTTATACGAAAAAGTTCTATCTTCGCGTTTTTTTTTTTTGTAAATTAAAGTTCATTTACTCAACGAACATGAAGGCCGACCCTGTGTTATTTATTAAAAACTTTGGAAATGTTTTTATGCGACCCGAGATGCAGTCTGATAATTTAAGTCGGCATAATCTAATACTATTAATACTAAAAGAAGGTTAGGTTACATTGTCAAAACATTTGTGCAGTCAACTGATTTTGTATTTGCACTGAATTCACTTAATTATTAAATATTAAGCATCATCCATCGACCCATCAGTGTTAAAAAGTGAAAGATTCCAGACAAAACTTTTTATTTTGTAATTCCACTATAGTGACAGTGTAATTTTTATAAAGAATTAAAAAATAAGAATAGCGTGCCGATTACATTAAAAACAAGATTATCATTTCTTACTTCGCTTAATTTTTTAGTTTGAGCACAAACTAGTTTTACAATGAACTGAGAAAACAATACATTTACTATTTCCGAACGTGTCGATATGGTGTTAGTGTATGGTGCAGCCGGAGAAAATGCGCTCGCGGCGACTAGGTTGTACCGGGAACGATGGCCACAACGTCAGCCCCCATGTGCAAATTCAATCCTACAGTGTGTTCAGCGGCTGCGAGATACGGGAAGTGTTATTCCTCGAGGAGAAGGGCGTGGTCAGCAAGTGAACCTTAATGTTGAAGATGCCCAGTGTTGGAAAATCTTGACAAAGACCCCACAATTAGTACTCGACGACTCGCACAGCAAGTAAGAACCTCATCTCGTACCGTACATCGCATCGTAAGGCGCCAGGTGTTGCATTCCTATCATCTGCAACCAGTTCAACAGATTTTAACTCCGGATTGTGATCAACGAATGCGTTTTTGCAGATCGTTTTTACGGCAACGTGCCAATCAAGTAGACTTTCCTACTTATGTTTGTGTAACAGATGAGGCAACATTTACCCGTGATGAAGTGAATTTCCATAATATGCACATATGGGCCGATGAAAATCCTCACGCGATTAGGGAAACAAAATCGCAACACCGGACACGGTAGAGCTGGCAGAAAACGAGATACACGTGGGGCTCCATATCTCTGAAAAACAACAAAAAAAAAAAAAACATACGCACACTTTGGAAAAAACCGGGCCCCAAAAATAGGAGAAGATGGCACAGCAAAAGCGAGCACACACATGTTATATCCAAAAGAGGACACCCACACACACAACACGAGAAGCAACGACAAAGTAAAAAGAATTGTGGACACACCAAACGACTGGACGCTTTGGTCCTGTGCCTTGTCCACCTTGGACACCCGATCTAACTCCAATGGACTTTTATCTTTGGAGTCACTTGAAGTAATTGGTTCCAATTATTGCTACGCTGGAAGAATTGCGAAACCGTATGCTTGAAGCTGTTGACACAATTAGGGGCATACCTGGAATTTGGGAAAATATTCGCCAAAATTGGGTGCGTCGGTGCCATGCCTGTATCCGCACCAACGGGAATCAATTTCAACATTTTCTCTAGAAATGGTAAGTTTTATTTCATTTTGTTCAATGTTTTAATGGAGTTTGTTTAGTGCACGCAGTTGGCAACTACAGATGCTTACGGATGTGGTTTTGTTTTATTAATTTATTAAAATTGTTAGTTTGAAAAAGAAATTGAATTCTTTGTGGAAAAATTTGTTATGAAAACATTGTTATTTTTGCAATATCTTTTAAGATAACTGCAAGATTGGAAGTTGAATTGAATTCAACTCTATTATCACAGGTAATCTATCAAGTCTTTAAAGTATAATTAAGTATAAGAGGATAGTTCTACGTGAATTCAATTTTACTTTATCTTCTGTTAAAATAATTATTCAAGAAGCTCTCGTATCGCGTTTCCAATTTTCCACAAGGAACACCTTGTAATTTATTTTGAATACTCTGTATATCAGACAAATCACTTTATTATAATTATCAATATCCCGCTTATTAAAAAGCGAATTAATATTGCGTAAACTGTCGTAAAAATAGAGAAAACACGTAGATAGTAAAAAAATACTATACTCGAGAAATCCAGTTAAATACGAGCTTTAACGTCAGACGCAGGATAAATCCAATCTATATAAGTACAGATTAATTATTTCATAATATATTTTACCTTGACTCCATATATTTTATTGATCCTGTGTATCTCGAAAACGATATAGGATCCATAGGTAGGCACATGGTCCACTTGAATGTCCAACAGTATTAGTAGCTGCGCAAGATTATTTTCATGAGCAGAATACAAGTATATTTTTGTGCCGTTTACCTCATTTTCATTCTTGATTTTCTTCTCTGTGTCGTTTATAATCTTCTTTACGTGGTAACCTAAAAATAAGTAAATTCGGCATAATAAAAGAAATGTTAATTAGATTTTTTGTGTAAGTGACCGATTTTGGAATAAAATATTTAATTCTAACAATGTTTTTGTAATTCTGAGCAGATTAAAGACATTTTTTTTGGAAAACAAATGTTCAAGACATTCTGGAGTGAATAGAAATGCTCAAATGAAAGTGAAATTAGGAAATTTAGCACAATTTTTGTATTACCGTACTAATACAGCTATCAATCTACCGAGCAAATTATTGAGGCCAATTTCTAGCCATGGAATAATGGCGCGAATCTACCGAGCTAAAAATTACTAAATATAGGTAGAACAAGTTCTAGGGAAAAACGTTATTTATATTATCAAACTAACCACTAGCCATTTTCTTCAAATCTGTAGTTGCAGTGGACACGTAATATTCCTTAACAGAAAAATTCGTTATATTCTCTGGCCAAACTTTTCTCGTCCAGAGCGGCAATCTGAAGCCCCACTCCTCTTCAGTGGATAAACCGAAGAATAATTTATATGTTTCCAAGAATGTGGTAACATTCAAACCAGAATTTTTGGAAATGTAGTTGAAAACGTCTTTGTTTTTGTTATATTCGGCTTGCATCTTTGGCGAAGCTACAACTTCATTGTATTTGATTTCGTAGTTCTTACAAAGTGTACCTAGCAAAACCTGGAAAATATATATAATATACAGTAATTACGTCTGCTAAAAGTAACGTAGGATTTGAATTATGCATGATTAGTCCGTCAATTTCATAACAAAATTGATATCTTTCACCTAGTGTAAATAGATTTTTAAAGTGTCATATGTAATTTGCTGCGCCCTCTACGCGGGCAAAAAAGAATTGTCATCGAAGCAGGCTGTGGCTACAAAGAATTGCTTGTTTTTTCCTCTTTCATGCGATATACTACACGTTGTCTTTATCTTTTATATTTATTACATTTTTTACAATTTTGGTATAAAATATGTAAACATTTTCTTGTTAACGTAGAAATTGTTGTAGATACGTCAACTACAAAAATTTAATAAATATAATGTACTTCTTTTAATCAAAATACAGATTTTCTTTTCACATTATTACAATATGGGTTTTTTACTTTAGACAAAACTAAGCTTTGAACATTGTTACTGCACAGACAAAGCAGCTTATGCTAAATGTAGCACGCTATGAAAACAATGTGTTATTCCAGTAATATCATCATTTAACAAATTGTTTAGTGATATATTTTATGCATAACCGTTGGTTTGAAAATTGTTACAGTTCACTGTGATTTGGAAAACTATAATTTTGAATAATACTAATATTTTCACATATTGAGAAGTGTAATATGTTTGTATTGTACTATCAATGCAATTTCGATTCTATTCAAGCACATGCGGAATATAAAAAACCTTAGAGAAGGATAGTGCAAAAATGATATTACGAAAAAATAGTTTCAAATGTTATAAGGTGAAAAAAGTGCATGAGGGGGGAAAATAAACCAAGAAGAAAGAAAGTAGGAAGATTCTTTTATATGCAGAAGAATTTTCTGGTCAGATGTGCCTAATTTTTGTAACATTGGACTTTCTAATAGAAACATTTACTTCAAATGGACTAATGGTTATTTTGCATGGGCATGGGTTTTCAGTAAACGTTTGGGTTAGAAATCTTGATACCAAAATCGTAGGACCTTTATCTACATTTTTGATACCAAAATTATAAAAAATGTAATAAATATAAAAGATAAAGGCGTCATGCAGTACATCGCATGAAAGAGAAAAAAACAAGAAATTTTTTGTATGCTTCCATGGCAATTTTTTTTTGTCCTCGTAGAGGGCTCAGCAAATTACATACGATACTTCAAAAATTTGTTTACACCAGGTGAAGGATATCAATTTTGCCATGAAATTTTATTAAAATAAGTTTTCTCTATCTCTAAAAAAGTTGCCCTAAATTTTTGGTACTTTTCCGGTTTTTTATAATTACTCATAAAGTTGGCCATTGATCTCAAATATAACCTGTATAATTGCAAAATCTCTACCCTTTAAAGACATTTAAAAACTTTTCCAACTTTTTAATTAATAAAATATATTTTTCTCATATTAAATCCTGCGTTTCTTTTAGGCCCGCCTTTATATTGAATGTATATCTTTAAGCATATGCTGAAGATTTGTAATCAACTCACTTTGGCTATGCAGTAAAGAATACAATTACATATGTTTATACAAAATTAATTAATCAGTTTGTTAATTATTGTTCGTCCACTCTAAATTAAACTACCTTATCCTTATACTGGGGCAAGTAATTGTACGGAACAGGTTGCCAGTTCAAGAAGTTATTCCAAACCTCCACACCTTTCGGTGGAAACAATCCCGCAAGCACAAGCAGCAGTGACATCTTCGTTCTGTTGTAGTTTGTACTAACAGCGTCCACAATTTCAGGGTAGTAATCGGGACCCAAGAAGTCCCCATACCTATCTCGCAGTTCTTTTCCGACCGAATATTCCCTTCGCTTACCTGCCTTAAGAGACCATACAGTTATATTACCTAAATGATGTTTCAATACAATATCACAAAGTATTGCAAGTATCGTATGAATTAGTCATATGCAGCAGATGTACATATAATAATTATAAGATATTTTTTCAAAACAAGATTAAAATTTGTTGAGAAAATACACAATGGTTCCATGGCAATCTTGACTTCATGCAGAATTAGTAAATAAATCATAACATTGTGCAAAACTATAAAAAAGTAAATGCCAGAGTATATCATTGCAATCATAAAAAAGAAGGGAATCCAAACGTACATATTCCTTTAAAAAAAACTAAAATGCAACGGTAAATTGTTACTTTATATTTTATATAAGAAGAATATTTATTTTTAAAAATAGGTACTATTTGGTTCGATGTTAAAACTGACTCACTCTTTATGTGTAGGTGATTTTTTTCAAAATAAAAGCGCATCTTGTTAAAATCCTGTTAACTAATTGCACTTACGTTTGTTAATTGACCTCTTCCAAAAGGATAGTAAGTATAATTCCTGTAAGGATCTTTTGGATATAGTTCTGTAACTTCTGGAGTTCTGTTACCATGTCTGAATACCTAAAACCAGTAATTTAGACTCCAATATCATGTATGTTTAAATATCGCCACTTTTCATAAGCAAACTTTACTGTTTTTTATTGAATACTCACCACGTGTGTCAAAATCAAAGTTGAAGGGGGCGACTGTTCCTTAAACAGTAAATTTCTTGAGCTGACTACTACATGGGTTACAATGTAGATCCAAATAATACCGCCTATCATATTCAGTCAATGGCTAACGTGTACTATATCAAATTTACACTACATTCGTGAATAAAAAGCTATCACATATTTATATATTTCAAATTAATGGTTCTTTTACCGATAACTGCGTTTACGCATTTTTAGTAACAATTTGAATAACTCGTGGACATGCTTAGAATGCTTATATAATTTTGAAGCCGCTAACCAAATGAATATTTTACTGATAACTATTCCCCGTTATACATTTTTAGCAATATTTTGAATTGTTCGTACGTACGGTTAGAAGTTTCAAGTAATTCTGAAACCATTTCATGGAACTCATAACCATATCAACAGGACATTAAAATTTAAATTCGAAAATGTCATAATTTATGCTGGACTACATTTTTGTGGTATAATAATGATTGTCTAGTGACATTTTTTAGTTTTTAACTGCAAGTTAATGGTAAAAAGTATGAAATGCGTTACATTTCTTTTTAAATTTTACTTTAAAGACAACATTGTTATAAATAAGTTGTCGCCTTGTCTGGACATAATTTTCTTAAAAAGTAACTAATTAAGATATTTGTTTCAAATACATGTTCTTAAAAACATTTCTTAAATGCAAGTCGGAGTGGATCTTTTTGGAAGTCGGACAGGATCAAATTGAACCAAACATGAGAAATAGACACAAGATCTTCCATTTTTTAGTGTTTAGTGTTCTATCCATGCAAACATTGTCATAATATCACATTCGTTTACGACGATAAAGTACCTACAATATTTATAAATTTTTCCTTGAAATCACTCCACTCCTTGTAGCTATGTACTTGTAAAGTTAAAATAATTTGACGTTTAAGGAGATTTTTCGCATATTTCCAATTATGTATTTTGTAATACGCGCATAATTTGCACAGAAAAGTACAACTCTTAATTTTAAGCCCAAGATGGGCCACCTAAGTGCATTACTGTATGATTTATTGAAACTTGAAAAAAATGTCTTTTTTCCGAAATCTCAATTTTTGCAAAAACTATCAAATATTTTCCAATTTTACAAAAATGTACTTATTCTACTTACCAACTACTACATTGAAAGTTTCGTAAAAAAATCTTTTTTCGTTTTAAAGATATACAGGATGTTAAAATTTCAGTTTTAAAAAAAATTAAGTTGATGATGGTCCTGGAGAGGCGAAACGTTACATATAAAAATTGATTATGCCATTCGACAGAGGACAAAAAATCTCGGTTTTTTCCAAATATTTCGAAAACTAATCATGTTAGCCCTGATTTTTTAAGCTTAATGTTGGTTCTCTGATTATGCAACTTTGCCCCCATTTAAGCTACTTCGTATCTCTTACCGTTTCCGAGATCCCTGTAGTGAGAAGCGAATTTGACACAGCTTGCCGACGTTTAAAAAAAATGCGAATTTTAGTCGTTCTTTTTTTGGAATAACAAATATCTACATTTGTTTATTAATTGATATCGGGCTAGGCTTGTTATAAAAAGTTCTACAACTTTTGTCTAAAACATTTCTTTCTAAAATGTTTAATTTTTTTTATTAATGAAAGAAAACTGTTTTTTTTTGCGAATTTTGGACGCCATTTTAAAAAGTCCTAACATTCAGCTGGGGTTAAAGTAATTCATTCAACTCAACGGAATTTTTCCTAATTTTTACGTGTCAATTAAAAAGAAGTAATTCCGTGAGCAGTCATTGAATGTCAGGGTTGATTTAGTGCTAATTCCAATGATGCGTTGTTAAAAAGATATCCTTTTATATATCACGTTTTTCTTGGTTAAAACTTTAAAAATTTTTTCAATTCATAACTTCGTGAAGACTTTAAATTACATTAACACAATAGAAATCTAAAAAAAGACAAGGAAGCTAAGCAAAAGTTTAAATCATTACTGTGATATAAACTTTTATGGAAATATTCACACACCATAAGTTGGTTAACTGTTTTATTGAAAAATGTTACTGATTTTGTTAATGTTCATTAAAAAATTAAGATAATTTGTTTTTATTTATAGCAACAATGTATGGAATCTGATAAATATGGTAGATAAAAAAGGAACTATCATTCAAAAAGGAATGTGTCCTTTAGTTTTGTTTACCGCTATAATCCTTTCATTGTCACATACTATTGGCATGTCATACCGATGGGCTTTGAATTATAAATAATTTGACAGGTAAGGATTTATTTCGAACGTAATTCAGGTTATTTGCTGTCTTCCGATAACATTCTTTAGAAACAATGTATATCTAAGAGCCACATACCGCAAAGGCTCTTGGCTTCAATTTTTCCTATTATTGCCTTCTCGGCTTTGTTACTCTCTGCCGATCAGTTTTATTCTTGTTCCGTCTGTCCCTTGTAGCCTCTTGGAGATACTTTTTCCTTGGACGCCCTTTCCTTCTTTCCCTATCGTTTTTAAATGATCTCTTTGAACAATGTATGATACTTTTGTTTATATTTTTCATAATTTCTTATGTGTGTCCTCTCTATGTACGTACTGTTTGCTGTTTTGACATCCCTATATATTTTTCTCAGAATGTTTTCTCCAGATCTTCTTCTTTTCTTTCTTGTCACTATCTAGATTTTACTTGTATTTATGACTGATGGGTTTACATTGTTTCATATGCTCTAATCTTGGTTGGCTGTAAATAGATTTTTTGCCTTATTCTTGATAGTGACCCCACAATTCTATTTCATTTTGGAATTTTTTTATCTATTAAGTACAAATTCGAGTTATTTTATAGACCGGAGTAATTGGATGTTATTTAGTAAAACCATTTTATTTGAATTACCACTTAAGCCAATGTCCGACAATTAACCAATCTATTAGAAAAACTTTCATTGCAAATACGAATGAATATGTATTATTTTAGACTATCAGAGAGCTCTTAAATAGGTGATAAATAATGGATAGATCGGCCAGGACCTGTGTCCTAACCGATATTTAAATTAACTAGATTTTTTCTTCTGGGTTGAATTAAAACAATGAGTTTGCGATGCTGCTGTGGAAACTGAGGATGAATTTCGGCAAAGAATTTTTCTTACCCATATTTTTTTATGAAACGGAAGGTAAAAAAGACCAGCCTTATTGTAATTTATGACCCAGTTAAAAGTAGAAGTTAAATGGTTAAGAACTAGGTTTACGACACCTTGCAAAAAGTAATAAATATTATCACAAAACTACCTTAATACAGGAAGTAGCAGTCTAATATAAAATAGAAAACGATCTGAGATACATAAACTCACATTGATAATANAATTTGTGTCCTCAAGTAAGATGACAACATTTTATACAGGACTCCATGTTTATTCTATACTTAAACCAGAATTGTAGTGATTTTCTATCTCAAACAAGAATTTGTAGCTATAATTAGTTTGTATACTTTGTCACAGGTGTCGCTACCCTTGAAAATGAAAGCGAAAACACAGAGTTGGCTTATTAAAAATGCGTGCTAAAATAAAGCATAAGGTGGCCATATTCTTGGCCGAGAAATACTGAAATTTCTGGCGTGTTTAGGTACTGAAATCTTTAAAAGTAAAACGTGTAGAACAAAAGTAAACACAAAAATAAAATCCTTGATGTTTTGTTTATTCATTGTTACCATTTAAATTTACCCAAATAAAATAATAACTAAAAAAAGCGTTTGTAAAACATGCGTTTGATGTTATCCTAACCCCACATTTTAAGAATTATTTTCACGTACTTATAAATAAAAGTAAACAATTTTATATGTAGGACTAAGCAAGTAAATGTTATAAGAATATTTACATGTGGAATTATATATAAAAAAGATAGTATTTTCGTAGATTTCAGTACCTAAAACCTTATTGATTTGATCGTTTTTTGCACCTGTTTATTCGTTTTACTGCGGCGTCTTTGAAAATACTCAGGTGGCATGACATAACATTCCTATTATTTGATAAGCTTTAGAATATTCAGTTATTAAATGTTTGAAATTATTTGTCTTTGCGGAAAACACTATTTAAAGAATATGGGGCCCTTAAGTAAAATAAAACCTGTATTAGTAAGATTCAAGAGTTAAAGGAAAACAGTTATCTGCAAACAGTTATTGAAGCGTTTATTGCAAGACAATATCCTATGTTCCTGAACAGTAAAAAACAGGAATATCTATACTAATTTTACACTTTATCTATACTAATTTTACACTTTATTTTTACACATATGTACAAAAATATGCAATTTAGAAAAAAAATAAGTATTTATCTATAAATGTTATCATTTTTTATTTGCTCTCATTTAAACAAAAATTATTTTTTAAATAAAAATACATAAAACATCTTAATAAATATGAGGAATAATAGAATATGAGAATGTGTTGCCGGTCTGACGCCAGTTGATGCTGTAAGAAAAATACAAAAATTGTAAGTCATTTACATTCCTGAGATAATTATAATTAATAACTAAAAAAATAGATTGTAACTATATTAAATAAATTGAGTCTACTTCTAAATTGACAGGTCGATAAAATATTTGACCTATCATTGTAATATCACTTAATTTTCAATGATAGTATTAAAAGATTTTCGTCACAATAATACAGTACAATTATAATAACGCACAGAAATTTTTAGCTGTTGAGTTTTTATTAATTCTCGTCAATTAAAGTCATATATGCATTCTTAATAAAATATTTTGTGCTAAAAACAATTTCATACACATAATTATTGTAAGCTTGCAATGCTTTTATGAAATATCTCATTTAAAATTCATGACAAATATATTCAAAATAGTCAGAGACTTCTAGTTGTTTAATGTTTTTATCTAATGTATTCTATAATTATGAAATAAACTAAAATAGAGGTAGTGATTTTTATAACAGTACATAATTCAAAATGTATGGGAGACTTGATTTAGTAAATTGAAATGTAATTTTGAAAATATTAAGTAAGTACCTACGTTATATTTCACATTTCTTGTTAGAATTTAATAATGTACATTTAGCTGTTGAAAATTTTTATATACAATTTGCGACGCTCATGTGCAAAAACTTTAAGCAAAGATATGCACCATGCTTTGATTCCAGTGTTATTAAAAACATTAAGTCGAAGGCTAGGTTTTTTGATAAATATAAAAGAAAAAAATAATTGGTTTTATCAAGAATTTAAAGAGCTACGTAGGATAATTAAAAATCACTTCGATTTATATTCTAACTATATTAGAGATGTTGAATCTGCAATTTCTACAAATTCTTAATGTTTTTGGTCGTTTGTTCAAAGGAAAATGGGAACTTCTAGGATTCCTGGGGAAGTTTGATATAACGATCAAATATATAAAAATCCGATGTTGTAAATGCATTCTGAATTTTTTTGTAGTGTCTTTTTGCAGTCCGAGCCAGAGGATGTCTCTGAGTTAGTTTTGCCTTGCTGTTATAACAATGATATCTTTTTGAGAGAGATTACTGAGAGTGAAGTTCTTAATGCAATGAAAAAATTGAAATATAAAATGATTTCTGACTCTGATAACATCCTCTCTTTCATAATAAAGGATTGTGCTGTTCTAGCAACTCCGCTTTGTACATTGTTTAATTTGGCTATAAGAACAAAACATTTCCCTAGTCGTTGAAAGGAAGCTAGAATTTGTCCAGTTTTTGAGGACGGAGATAAATCACAGGTCAAGAATATAGGCCCATATCTATAATATCAAACTTCTCCAAAGTCTTTGAGATAGTCTTATAGGTATAACCGTATATATCCGTCGGTCTGTAATTTAATTTCTATATCAGCATGGTTTCGTAAAGGGTAGATCAACTACCACAAACTTGGCTGTAATATCACAGTACATTACAGGTATATTAGATAATAGGGGACAAGTGGATGTGATTCATGCGGATTTCTCAAAGGCCCTTGACAAGGTTCGCCATAAGACGCTTCTCCGTAAATTGGCAAACTTTGACTTCAGTTATGATATGACTCAATTTTTTAAATCTTATTTGAATAAGAGAATGCAATTTGTTTATTGTAATGGGTTTGAGTCAACTCATTATATTGCTACCTCAGGTGTTCCTCAGGGTTCCATACTTGGGCCCCTTGAGCAATTTTCAGATATTGGAGCTATTAAAACATTATATTTTGCTTATGTTCGCTCTAGACTTGAATATCGTGCGCTGGTATAGTATTCTTATTACAATACTCAAGAGTGGCAAATTGAAAGAATTCAAAAAAAGTTTTTAAATTATTTGGCTTACAAAGTTGATGGGATTTATCCTGAAATGGGTGTAAACTACGCCATTTTAATAAATAGATTTGGCGTTCACGAACACCATTCACTGTGCCGATCTGCTTGCTTCTATTAACGACTTGCAACGCCAAATTTTTAAATTTAAACATTTTAATATAAGTCGCCAGGATATGCCAATTTAACAATTTTAACCGATTGTGTAACTCTTGTGATATATTTTTTGTCCATTACATACTTTATTGAACGTCATAAGGCAATGAATACTATGTTCCGTATTCCCTTTTCTGGATTAAATATGTAGTAGTGTAATGCAAACACACTTCTACAGGTATATGTCTGCTTACGTTTCTTGAAATTTTTTTTCATTTTTTCTCTTTTTTCTTTGTTTATGTTTATTTAGTTGTATTATTTATAAATTGGTAATCTGTTTGGCAATAAAGCATTATTATTATTTTGCCACTAAAAATCCTACCCTCATTGCTCAAATGGATTTTTTTTACCTGTACTTGTTAAGATTCTGGAAATATTACCTATTACATTTTACAAAAACCATTATGCTTACCAGTTCCACAAATACTATCATCCTCCGGAATGAATTTACTGGTTAGAGAAACAAATCTTTCGAATTGACAAAATTCTTCGCATGACGGCAATTTCATTAGTACAGGATCATCAGTTGAATAATCTTGATAAAGCAACTAAAAAATAAAAACGCACTATTTTACCACATTTAAATTAGACAATTATGGCCTCTGATTGCAGTTGACAAAATAAAGCATACTTAAGCCTTAATAAAATAAATAAATAAAAAAGTCGTGCTTATAGTAAACAATATAAAAACTCATTTAAAGCTTCACATACTTCGGATACATTTTTGAAATATAAATAGTTAATAATATTATAAAAGTAATATCTGTTTTTCACAAGTACTGAGATATTTTTGTGTAACTATATGATATCTTCTTTTCTTCCCTTTTTGACAAATTGATAGTACTGCGACAGAACAAGCAAGTAGGTATACGAAATCTTGATAGACTTGCTCAGTACACTTGTGTGATGGTTTCTTGAATTTTTAACTTTTATGTCCTGCATGTTTAAGATGTCTAACATACGCAACAGTGGTAGTTATTGCTTTCATATGCTATGACTTATACAAGAATAAGTGTTCCGTCATGGTCACGTCAATAATTTTCTCATTTAAATAAATTATAAACATACTCGCGTATATTAGTAACACGTCTATTTATTTTAAAGTATTAATCCTAGTATTAAACTGGCATGCCAGAATATCGTTCGTCAATAATTTCACTAACTTTAATCCTGATCAGGGATAGTCCTAGTTATATCTCAATATCTCAAATGCTTCTGGGTGAAAGGAATAGGAATATGGTACTGAAATTTTGGAATTCTGCCTTCAGCAGTTTGTTTAATAATAATAATAAAATAATAATAATAATAATAATGTTGCCGGTCTGACNTCCAAAAGTAAAAATGAATGCCCACAAAAAAAGAGAAGTGGTCTGTCCAAAGATTATACCCATATATCTCCCTATATTTTGGCTCTTAAATATGATAAATATAATAATAATATCTCTACTCCTCATTCTAACTACGAGAATTAGCCCAGAAGTCGGAGACTTGTGCGGGAGAGGAGGCGGCATATTATTATTACGCAGGCCGCATTTGCGCCCAGGAACGACTTATGTTGGTAGGCCCTAACCACCATTCAGTGCAGGAATGATGGAAACCTGGAAAACCTCATTAATTAGGGGGGTGGTCAAATGCCCACCGGTGTCAATCTCTCACATTAACCCAAGCCAACATTCTTCCACCCTACCATATCTGCACAGAGGGTGCCAATCCTCCGTACAAGCATAGCTAATCTACGGTCTACCGGCCGCGGGATTCGAAACCCGGGCAGTTCGACACATCGATTTAAGTACTGACGCCTTAAACCGTGCGGCTATTGACCGTTTGGTAAAAATAAATGAATTTATGGAAATTCGTGGTTCAAAGCTACAACAAAATTATGCTTTAGAGAAAATTAAAAGCTCCTCAACATATTTACAAACTTTGTGCTAGGATTTTTGTAGTTTGCATGCGCCTAGATTATCCCACTCTACAATTACAGTATGCACAATCATGTAGCACTTTGTATATCATTACCTTAATCCCATAGGTGCCGTTAATTTTGTGTAATTCCATTAGAATGTAGCTGCCATATGGCGGAATCTCCTCAGTGCCCCACTCTACAACTTTTAATATAGAGGCTATATTATTCTCATGCCCACTATAAATAAACATTTTCTTTTTCGGGAGTTTTCCTTCGATTTTGTTGCTCGTGTCGATGAGTATCTTTTTCAACAAGTATTCTGTAATTTGAAAAAAAATAAGGCACAATTCTGAAAATGTATAAAATATTTGAACTTCCAATTTATTTCTGTAAATACTCTTTCTAAATATTCAATATATTTTCACACAGCCAATAAAACTATTTAAAAAAATGATATAGCCCACAATGCCGTTATAAATTAACTAACTTTTGAAAATGGTAAACTGTAAAGGAGGTGTAAAATTATTCTAGACAGTTACTTTTTTTTAGCTATTATTTATCCTAAATTTTATATATACAGGGTGTCCCGGTACTTGATACAAAAAAGTCGGATGCAAATAGATGAGGTCAAAATTGTATCAGTTCTTATTTTTTCCATACGAGCCTTCGTTAACAAGTTACGGGCCCTCAAAGGTAAAAATTATAAAGTTATTTTTATTTACAGTCTCTGAACTATTAATTTCAGCGTGATGTTAATTTGATGATCGATAACACATGCATATAGCATGTTCCCTGAAGAATTTGCCAATGATAATACCCTCTTGGTTCAACTCGGTAAAATTAACATATTTCTTTTTTATGCAAATGCTTTTTTGTGTACAAACAAATAATATTCGTAGACTTAGGAAGTGTGTGGGAGTGGAAGGTGCCCATATTGGAAATGTATTTTGAGAGTTTTCTTTCTTTTAAATTATTAACTTTAACTTCCTTTAACTTATTCTTGTTTCGTTTTTCTATTTTGTGTTATGTGTAGAGCGTTTGTCAAACTTTGTTAATGAAAATTACATTAGCAAACAGTAAAATTTTCTAGACTCTTATTTTAAAAATATGTACGGTTCTAACATAGTAATTATCTCCAATAAAAATTAGACAAAAAAATGGTGGAGGCGCCGCTCGATATTTCCTAAATTGTTAGTTTTACCGAGTTGAACCAAGAGGGTATTATCGTTGGCAAATCCTTCAGGGAACTTATTTTTGATACAAGCAGATTGGGATCGCCATCTATGCAAAAATTCTGGATTGTTAACCATTGGGCATAGTCCGTCCCTGGCGTTCTGGACATAATGAAATTTCACTAACAACATCGAAAACAAGCTTTACGCATGTGTTATCGATCACCAAATTTGCATCATGCTGAAGTTAATAGTTCAAAGACTGTAAATAAAAATAACTTTTTAATTTTCACCTTTGATGGCCCGTAACTTGTTAACGAAGGCTCGTTAGAAAAAATTTATATGAAGAACTGATATTATTTTGAACTCACCTATTTGTACTCGACTTTTTTGTATCAAGTACCGGGACACCTTGTATATGTATTCAAATTAAATAGATTCCCTCTTTCTATGTATGTTAAAAAGGTGTATACATTAAAAGATTACCTGACATTTTTTGTAATTTCCCAGTAAACATAATATCGTAGTATCCTGTAGTAATGTTTTTCATCGGGTAGGGATATACCTTTCCCGTCCAATCTGGCAAAGTAAAATTCAGTTCCTCCTAATGAAAAATTGTATTAAATAAAACTGCTATTTATTAACAGTATAAAATGGTAAACGTGCGATTTTTGATATTAAAATTGTAATTTGTGATTTGTTCTGAAAATATACTCACTTGAATTAGAAATCCAAAATACATATAATATACTTGTAACAAATCGGTAATATTTTCTCCAGTTTTGTCAGAGATATACTTGAAAGTATCCTGGTACTTTTCAGTCAGTGCACGACCTTTCTCAGAATGCAGATATTCGTTGGCTGTTTTGTCCCAGTTGGGGCAACCATAACAAAATAATTCCTAAGGATAATTTATTAATTACTACTACACTAAAACAAAATGTATTTAAACTATAAACTATTTTGCGATCTGTCAGATAATTGAAAGTTGTGATGCCAAAAGTTGAATGTAAACTGCGGTTTACATTCAACTGATGATGACCGACTATTTTTGTTCTTGTACTTTTTTATGTACCAATTGTAGGTTATTTCTCATTGAAGATTTAATTCAATCCTGGACGAGGCACGTTGTTCGCAGAGCTGTTGACTTTCTTATACAACTAGTTAAAAACTATAAACATTTTATAATCTCAAGAAACTGTCACATAAATAAATATTTTGATTCTTTTGATTAGGGTTTTGAGTAGGAAATCAGAGAAAGTAGTATATTCCATGTTCTAAGAAGGATTCAACTGAATACAAAGATTCAAGCCTATATTAAAATCACTTCGACATCATTGCAACCAACTCTACCTTATCATACTTTCTTTCCAAGTAGTTGAACGATATTGGTTGCCAATTGAGTCCCTCCAACCAGACCAAATCTTTGGTAGGAGGAAATAAACCAGCCAACATGGCTTGAAGGGATGCCTTAGTCCTATTAAAGTCACTGCTTCTGGGTTCTATCAGATCAATATTGTAGGTTTCATCCAAGAATCCATTATATCGTTCTCGTAACGTCATACCAATTCTGTATGCTTTCAGTTTTCCAGCCTGCAAAAATTAACATTAATGAAATCAGCCAAAATAATGATTAGTATAAGAATTTGTTGGTACAGGTGTCTTTATTTTGCAGTCACAACTATTAAATCGGAGTTGGCAGCTTTATTCTCTCTTACCCCCAGAAACGTTAAAAAATCCAAATTATGGTATGGATTGAGGGAAACCTCGTTCTAAGCATATTATCTTTCTTTATGGTGATGATTTATGGGGAATAAATTTGGTATTATAGTCAACTTCTTTTTGTTTTTAACATATTAAAAGTGTTTTAAGTGAAGATACTATCATTAATGCTATCCTTTATTTTATTGTTTGATTTTGTCGGTCAAATAATGTCATTATTAGTACAATCTTTTCAACTTGGAATATACTGCTAAATGCAGAGTTTTTAATCAATCAACAAATAAGTTGTAAACAAATGAAAATACTTGCATTGGTAAGTTGTCCATATCCATACGGCGCATAATAGCTTTCATTGTAGTAAGGGCTGTTTGGGTAAAGATTCAAAGTATCTGGATTTCGATCACCATGGCGAAATATCTGAAAAATTAATATCTTATTGACTAATTAGCTTACGATTTCGTTCGGATACATTTCTTTGTGAATCAGTACAGGTAAATTATAATATCCCACATTAAACAATTACTGTAGATTGTGATTATACTTTTATGGTAAATAAATTATGATTATTATTGTAATGCAACGCAATTAGGTTAGCTTAGTCATATGAATAGACGTAGGAATTAGTTTGTAGAATAGGCAATAGTAAGTACGTAACCATATTTGCAAGAAACCAAATGAATGATAAGGATAATAGACATTAGTATGAATAGATGTATTAAGAGTCAGTATTTCTTAACGAACCCATATCCTCCTAAGCCTGGGCATAAGAAGTGGATCAATGAACCATGTGGACTTTCCGACCCTGTATATATTAAGAGATGCTACTGGTACACAAATATCAGTTATAAGAGACAAACGGAAGATAACTTTGAGACAAAATAAATCATCTTAAATGATTATCATATACTATCAACTGGTCACGCAGAAATAAATTGGATGTACAGTAATATCAAAAAAGAGTATTTCTGGATAGGTATACATAATTTTGTCAAAAAATGGGAATACGATTTTGTAAAATAAGCAATAATAAAGCACGTAATCATAGTTTAATTACACACACATTACCTACCTCTAATCTGTGTGGATAGATGTATTAAAACTCAGAATCAATGTTTTATTTCATAACGAACTTGTCTTAATACTGAGCATATTACATTATTACTATTATTACTCGTATATTATCCAACAATTGAGTTATCCATTTTATTTATTTATTTGTTTATTATTATTATTATTATTTTACTTTTTTGAGTAAAATCATCACTGTAAAATTTCAGCTAGATCTTTTTTTAGTTTCTTATAATTAATACAAAACAAAATAAAGTCACAGTAAATAAGAGTACATATTATTAAAAATATGTACCAGGAACAAAAAAAAATGTTCATATGGTTCTACAGTTGGTATGGTTTTAAAATGTAAACGATTTATATCTGGAAAATAGTCATTATCATTCGCTTATATTTTTGCATTCAGTAATCAAAATAACATCGTAGTGATAAGATAAGTTAAATGAAATATTAAATACAAGTAAATAAAAAAGTACTTACAGTATGTACTAAAAGCAGGGTTTCCTCTGCTTGACTGCGAACTATTACCAAAAAACATGAAAACACTAGTGCTTTTAGCACCTTCATTCTGCTTCATGGACTTGTACTTGGGCACACTAAATCTAGGTTTCACATATTATGATCTCGTCATAAGTGCTCATTCAGATAAATGCGTTCATTCTAATAATGGCTTATCAAAATTGAATACAGAGTGATGTGTTGTGTCGCCTAGGTAGTGTTTACATTAACTAAAAATCCTTATTTGTGATAGAATTTACACATTTTCGTACATTTCACATATTTTATTTGAATTTTAAAGTTAAATTTAAGTCCATAGAAAAATCTTATACGCAAAAATCATCAGTAGAAAAGCATTGAATATTGCAATTTATTTCAACATTAGTTGTGTTTGAAACATATAATGTACTTTGAAATTATTACACAAAAAAAGCAACCTTCACAACTGATATATTGTATATAGGAGGAAATATACATTGAACTGCCAGGTACACAATTGCGATTTTTTGCATGATATATAGAAATATATAACGAAAGCTAAGTTAGTTTTTATCTTATTCTTGTTTTTTTTCTATTTTGTGTTTTGTGTAAAGTGTGTTTGTTAGTGGAAATTACATTAGCTGACAGTAAGATTTTCTAGGCTCTTATTTAAAAAATATGTACGATTCTAACACAGTAATTATGTCCAATTAAAAATTAAAAACAAAAATGGAGGAGGCGCCGCTCGATGTGCACTGTGACATAAAAACACAAATATTTCCTAAACTGTTAATTTTACCGAGTTGAACCTAGAAGATATTATCGTCGGCAAATTTTTCACGGAACTTATATTTGATAAAGGCAGATTGCGATCGTCATCTATGCAAAAATTTTTGGTTGTTAACCATTGAGCATAGTCCGACCCTGGCGTTTTTGGCATAATGAGGTTTCACAACATCAAAATAAGCTATACGCATGTGTTATCAATCACCAAATTTGCATCATTCTGAAGTTAATAGTTTAGTTAGAGACTACATACATAGTAAATGATTTTGTTCTAATTAAATTTCATTTAATATAGGAATACATGTTTTCCTTTATTGTACTAGTACCGTAATAAATTTCATTATAGTCTTTAAAGTACTAAAATACTACATCGCAATGTATCTGTACCGGCAAATAAAATATATAATATTTGTGATATGTAAATATTGTCCCATTTTCATAGGTTTAGTCTCTTTTTTCTTTAGATTAAGCATTTTAGGTTGTTATACTAATTACTTTATTAAGACGTCTATTTTTTTAATTTGTATTTATGCTTGTTCTCTGTAATTGTTAATTTCCCTTATAAGAAAAGCTACGAGGTCAGATCTACCAATGACCGGTTTTATATGAATAAATTGGTTCGGTGGTGTTGTTGACCATGTTCTCGTTAAACAAACGAATTAATTCCAATTAATATGTTCGTCATATTTAAATAAATAAATACATCGAAAAGCAGTACCATTTACATTCACGAATTACTCGATATAACTTTAATTTGAAAAAGCTTTGAACGAATAATAAAAATGTCCTCGAGCTCTCCTTTCAAGCTTAAAAATTTTATTATAGCTCCATAAATTAAGTTTTTTTCTTTCTTCGAATGTTTATTATTTATTTCACGTTACAAAATTTTTAAAAACAGTGTTGGAGGAATTACTTGTTAAAACCTCAGTAATTTGACTAATGTCTAATATGCGATATACCTATAAAAATCTTTTATAATTACACAATATAACAATGATTATTTTTAACCGCAGCTAAAATTACCTAACATGTATAAAATTATATTGAGCATATTAGTATAATTTTGTACTTTTTCTGTAAATCAGTTTAATGTACCTAAACTAAATAATTTAAAACATATTATTTGTTTGACAAATAACAAATGGCACAATGAAAATGTATATGTATGTATATTTACATTAGAAATTATACAAACTGATAAGAGATTGTGAATAATGCATAAAATGTAATATTACAGTATAAAAAGTAATAATACATTCTAAGAAGCAAAATTACTTAAAATTGGAAATATATTTACAACTCAAATACTCATTTTTTTCACAAATTATGTGAGTACATTTTCTTACAATGTATTACGTGTGTAAATCATTGCAAATAACATGTAAAATTTAATATAAATTTTCATATATTCATATTCTTTTAATTAATGAAATGAATTAGTTAACACTACAAGTATTTGTAAAAAATATTCTTAATTTCTTCTTTTCATTTTTTTATCTTTTAATAGGAATAAAATGCACAATTGAATAGGTAAATAAAAAATTCGGTGCATTTCGCCAAATAATGCGTTTTCATTTTCTACTGAATTATCATTTCCCGTTCTTGAGGCACTGTTAAAAAAATGTTATAAAACCTGACAAAATAATATATTATTATGGTTTTAGAAGTACCTCATGTTTCAATAATAAAATCTGTCCAAAATGAATCAACCACCCATTATTAATTTAGACTACTTATATAATATAGAAAAGAAAAAACAATAAGATGTAATATTTGTATCCGAAAGATTCACTTAATAAACTTATTAACTACTCCCTTCCACAAAAATCGTCTGCTGGTAAATATTCTTCCACTAAAGATTCAAATTTATTTAGAGGGCAGAATTCTTCACAAGCTGCTAACTTGAGCAACTTCGGGCCATCTCCAATATAGTCCTGGTAAAATATCTACAAAACAATTATAAATTATTACTTTTAAATGAACGATAAAATAATATAAACATTTTTAGTGTCACATAGAGCTATATGTGCTATGTTCGCTAAACAAGTTAAACACAGGCAATCTTAGGACTCATAGAGCTCATATTGATACTAGAATAAGCAAGATAAAACCTGAGTATCCTTCTAAAATGTTGCAAAGAAAATTAAAAGAGAAGTTATAATAATATACTCAATATTAATGATATTCAAGTACTTGCCTTTATTCCGTAAATGCCATTTATTTGGTGGACTTCTACCAATATGTAACAACCATAAGGCGGTATTTGCGGCTCAAATATGTCCAAGGTTGTTAAAAAGTTGGCGACGTTTGACTCGTGTGCTGAGTACAAAAATATTTTTCTACTGGGAGGTTTTAGAGTGCCTTCAATTTTTGCTTTTGTATCGTCTAAGATTTTTCTTAGGTGATAACCTGTAATTATTAATCAATTAGAATTATCATTTTAAAATTAATTGCAAATTTAATTTCATAAATGAACATACAGGGTGTTAATGAACTTAGGTCAAAAATTTAAAGGGGTGAAGAAGGAGCAAAAACTGAGTTAACTGATGTCACAAACTTGTATCGGAAGTTTAAAGTCATAGAAAAGAAAGCTAATTAAAAATGTGTTTAAAACTGTTTTGGAACTGCTGAAATACATGTATTTTATCGCGGTGAGGTTGAGGTATTTACCTCATTTTGACATAACGGACATGTGGCAAAAATATTTGACATAAGTTCATTAACACCCTGTATAAACAAAGTTTGATATGTAGGTATTTCTTCTAAATTTTGTAATTATCATTACTTAAGCTATTGTCTGATTTATAATTAATTTATAATTTCAGAATATCCAAATATAAATATCAAAAACAGCTAGTTATTTATATTTTTAATTTATGAAAATTTTAGATCGTAAAATAAAAAAAATTTAAGAAACAGCATTTCTGCAAAAAATGTAATGTTATTTGAAGAGGATTTATTTCAGTGTGAAACACATTTTATGCATCACTATACTCAAATGAATATTCAGGCCTGCATTAAAATTATTAGTTGATGAGAGTTATTAAGACATTTGTATGGATGAACGAAAACTAATTTTATTTTTTCGTGTAATTATTCAAATAATCCTATCAAAAATCGAAGATTATTTCAAACAGTATCTAAACGAAAACACACTCCAAGAAATTAATATTCGTTTTTACCTTTCTTTATCTCTGAAATGGCAGTGTTATCTCATCCAATCCAAAACGCACTGCATTCATTGATTATCAAGGTTATTTCTTACGTATACTACGAATATTTTCCTATTAACAATACTTTCACAAGATTTGTTTGGAGATCTTCTAGACATGTGAAGGCTATTATTATGCCTATACTTATATTTATAAACCAAATATGTATGCTTATGTAATGGTTCTTTACCTGTAGCAAGTCTCCTCAAATTCGTTGTGCTGGTAGCCACAAAATATTCCTTTATCACCATGTCCTCCAACGGCTGTGGATAAACAAGCTTGGTCCACTCCGGCAACTCAAACCCCCATTCTTTCTAAAAGGATATGTTAATAGATTTTTGCAATCCATTATTTCAATTTCACTTACTTCGGATCTTAAACCAAAATACAAGTAAAATATATCTCCATAATTGCTTATGTTCCATCCACTGTGAAAAGAGAGATAATTGAAAAGTTCTCTGCGTTCGAAGAATTCTCGTTGCCACTTCTTTGATTTCATTAATCTGTTATAGTATTTCTCATAGTTAGGACAGAGAATACCTAAGAGAATCTGAAAGCAGAAGGACATACGTACATTTTTCCATATGTGTAAGTTCTGCACATACCTACATTATCTTGACCTTTTGGGATAAAATTATACGGAATAGGTTGCCAATACAATCCTGTTTCGAAAATTTGGTCTCCAATAGGTGGAAATAGACCTGCCAGGACAAGCTCCAAGGACATTTTTGTCCTGTTGACATCAGTACTTTGGGCATCTAGTAGGTCTGGTTCGTATACTCTGCCGAGAAAGTTGTCGTAACGCTTCCGTAGAGCTTTGCCGATTTTGTATTCTGTAATTTTTCCTGCCTAAAAAAATGATGTTTTAATATATGTAATTGTAAATGTAGATATATTTGTAGTGCTAAAACAAAAATGTAATGGTTCCAAAAAGCAGACAATTTTATGACCATCGTACAATTATGTTTCAGTAGCTTTATTAATCATATTGCTCTTTTTACTACATTCGACAATACACTAAGAGTTATATAAATATTATTAAAGCAAAGAAAATTAACTTTGTTTTTGGAAAAATCATAGTTTTATATTTATTTTTTAATAATCACTGAACATATTTCAGTTAATAGAATACAATGTGATCATTTTGTATTCCCCTCTTTTCGAAATAACACGCAATATATCTATCTATAACTTACGTTAGTCAATTGTCCTACTCCATAAGGATAATATTTTTCATCTTTGTAAGGATCAGTTGGATATAACGTTGATGGGTCCACGGTCCTTTCGCCATGTCGAAATAACTGAAAATATAAATGATCCTTCAAACATTTTAATACAGCACAAAATATCATGGTATTTTTTTACTTTTAATCTGAATACGTTCAAGTTTCAAAACAATATTTAATGATTGGGTTAAAATTGTTTTATAAATATAAACATCACGAATAATGTATACAATTTATTTTAATTGGCGCATACGGCAGATATACGAAGGTAAAAATATGTTAATTTATACTGCACATATAACTTCTAGAAATATTTAAACAAAATGCGATCGAAACCTGTGTATTTAATTAATAATAAATATAGTATATAATTAAAACACTCCATTTGTAGATCAAAAATATTTTATAACAAAACTATTATACAGGGTAAGTCATTTTTTATAGCGAGACAGGAGTAGATATAAAGGGTAGAACTATTTACGTACAAGAAACAAGATATTGGAATATTTGTATGTTCTTTTTTGAATCTTGTTATTGTAAAAATTATTACATCTGTCTAAAAAAAGGAAAAAAAACATAAACATTCTGAACCTCAAAACAGTTTTTCAAAAATTAAACAACTTAATACGAATTATAATACAAAAATGTTCTGCTGTTACCATTAACCACAAAATATTAATTAAAAAACAACTATAATATAACATTGTAGTTACTAATAGTTACGTAACTATTAATAATATTGAGTCAGATGAATTTGTAAAATAATTTTTATGATTAATTAATTTTTTTTGTCCTAACTTCCAGATACTCTGTATATTCTGTTCTTTTTTTAACAAGAGATCTTATTATAACAAGTGCTGCAAAAAATTGCACCGATTTTACAAGTTTTGATCTAAAATTTTCCGGAGTTCAATTTTTTTTTAATTTGCATTTCAATAATACCTTTTTAGTTTATTTTAAATTATTTTATTAAGATGAAAACTCTTACCACATGCACTAATACAAGAGTCTCCTCGTTGGTTCCACTATTCGAACAGAACGCGAATAACCGGAGAAGCACGGCACAAAACAAACCCACCATGGTCGAAATGGGATTAACGAGTAAGCAGCAAAACTTCATATTATTCAAATTAAACGCTACCAGTTTTATCTGTCAGGAACGGTTAGCCATATCTCGGTTAGGAGGCTGGTGATAACTACTTCTACAATTTAGTAAGATTGATATTGCGGTTTTTTAATTTCATTTAAATGAAGGAATGGTTCATTAATTTTCCTTGCTTAGCCTTGAGTACGAAAGGTAAGCAAACATTGATTGTTACCCATCTGTTCGTTGTACGATTGTTGCTTTGTATTTATTTATTGTTCTATTTCTGCACAAGATCTATAATATTTTTTTAATTAAACTATAAAAAAAGTGAAGTGGATAGATCAGAACGGAATCAACATACAGTTGCAAGCTTGTCGGTGGAACATTTGTTTGGCTTAACATTTTAAGTTGTAGATTGACTTTTCGTTGGTATTAAACTTATTGCTAGGTGTGTTCTAAATAGCGGATGTCGTAGGTCAAAATCGTATACAGATTAAAAGATTTACATAGACTATTTCCAACAATAACCGCTGAATTTCTTGAACTTTTTTCGTAATAGACACAGTGAGTAGCAAAAGTGAAAAACAGTAATATTATGAGCATCGTCATCAGCCATCATACTTAAAAATCGTACAATTTAAAGTGTGACACTAATTTGTGTTTCAAAATAAAATAAAAAATAAAAAAATTAAAAAATTAAAATAAAAGAAACAATGAAATAAAATAAAACGAAATACATGAAATGCACCTACAGTGTCACAGCGTCATTCAAATAACGTTCTACCCCCTCCTTATCCCTTTTACCTTTCCTTTTACTTAAATCGTTTTAAATATGTCATTTCCCATTCATTCTTATTTTATGAAATTGAAGATTTAATGGTAATTTGTTTTAATGAAATCAAAAATTTACCTGTCGTAACTTCTTTCCACACAAAAAAATAACTCGCCCTGTCCATAAAATAAATGCGTTTATGAATCGTAAATCTCAATATTCTGTAGAAATTGAGAGAACTGATGAGGCAATCTTCAATATGTTGCAGATAGCAACCCTGACATGAATTACACGGTACCACAGAAATTTAAACGTATATTTCGATGTACGAAAAAAAAGCGCATTTCTATTTTAATGGACCACTAGTCATATTTTTAGAACTTCTTTTGTTTTATCTTTTTGTTAAATATTAGAATGATCCTAAACCAAGAATTTCGCGTATCTATTTATATACAAAGTGATTCACAAATGGTGACTAAATATGAAAGCTCGTATTTTTTGGTGAATTTTAAGGAGAGTCTCCCCTTTAAAGTATTTACCTAGGATGCTTCGTTAAAAAGATTAAAAACTTCAAAAAATATTTTAAATTTTTTTAAATAATTTAAAAAGTAATAAGTGAAATAATTTCAAATTGGTCACATATATTTATGTAAACATAGTCCAAAATCTGAGGGTTTTTCCTAAAATTTACATGCTCCAGTGGCGCAAATACAGTGTATTGGTGGCATATTTTTCTAAATAAAATAGTACGCCACTGTTTGACGGTAACAACCATGATATTTTCGGATTCGTCTTGCAATTTTCTACAAATTATTACTCTCTTATGTTTTTCGAAAAAAGCCTGATTTTCGAATAATACTTAAAAAACCAACATTTTTACTTAAATGACATTACAAGCAGTATTCGGTTATAATAAAGAAATTAATAACATTAGTCATCATTTTAATGATTTTATTTGAGAAAATGCTTAAAAATCACTCCATTTCCACGAACACAGGTCCGACACCTTTTCGATAACGAAAATATAATTTGTTCGAAATTGTTGCTTGAATCTGATGAAAAGCTTTACCTATTTATTTTTTCTTCTAACTGCTCAGAATGTCAAAGTTGATATCGCAGCCCACTATGCAGTTTTAAAAAGCATTATATTCGAATATCGAAGTGTGCAAAATAAAACGAACTTAACTGAGGTATTTCTAAAACGTCCTTCAAAATTCTTGTTTGATAACACTTTGAATTTAATATATTGGTAAGTTTATCACAGTGACTCCCAAAAGTCAAAGTTTCATCTAAAATAATGCCTAAAAACGAAACAGTACTACATTTCTCAATATTATATTATTAAACTTTATATTTAGGGAGGATTATGTCCGACTTTGAGGTGTATGAAACATTACATAGTTTGTTTTAGCACTATTAAAGAATAAAGAATTTTCACTAAACCATCTACATAAATCGGTTTTTGTTACCTGCGTTTTTGTTATTTTGAAGAGATATTTCACACCTATCTGAAAAGAGGAGCGAGGTATCGTCAGTATATTGTGAAACAGATGCGCCAGGAATTATTTTTGGTAATGCATTGATATAAAAATAATAAATATAAAATATAATCAATAATATAGGCCCCAGAACAGAACCTTGGGGGACACCAATATCATTACATAAAGTGAGTATATATCTTATATAAGTGGATTATTACTTTCATATTTGCGTATTCTGAGCAATATAAAGGTCATGGGTTTTACAGTGTTCAGTTCCTCAAAATACTAAAATACTATGAAAATCATATATTTGGACAAAATTTTGGAAAATTTTTACCCATAATTAAAATAAGCCACCAAAGTAGTGAATTTTCTGAGAAATATCGAGGTCATGAGTAAATTTTACTAATGGCATCGCGCTTCAAAACACTACAAAAATGATATATTTGAAGAAAACTGTGGAAAATATCAGTATTGACCCATATTTGGGCGTTTTCACCCAAAAATTTCACTTTCAATTTTGACTACAGGGTCGGCTTCAGCGCATCGAATTCCTTCGGTAATTGTATGTGGCTCTCTTGGGTTTGGACTTTTTTTTGTGCGTCTGTGTAATCAATGTGGCATCGCTACAGATTTCCTTCATTTAACACCCTCTGGATTGTAATCTAGTAGTGATAAGAACTGTATATATTTCAAGGGATATTTTTTTTGCTCTGTACAAAAATATAAAATGGTGGGTACCGCTATCCAGCTATATAACATATTTCATTTCCGGTCCATACTGTACCGTTATCTTAATTTAATGAGTTTATGGATGAAGTCATTGACATCATTCAGTATGAAATATTATATAATATTTACACACCAGTGCAAAAAAGGTGGTACCAATGGCTACACGCCAGTATTGTTGTTTGTAAACAACCAAATATGAATCAGAATAAAGAAGTGTGAAACAATTTATATTTACATTTTCTTAATTTTTAAAATTAGCTTTATAGCACACATATATGTTTCCCTTCCTATTATAAAATATTATATCTGTTGTTGAAATTTATTTAATTAAGAACTGATTCAATTAGTTATGGTTAATTGATTACCAATTAAAGTATAAAACAATGTGTTTATAGCCCGTTAAACGTTATTTTCAATGACACATGACTCATTAAAAATTATCTGAAATTATAGATAGTGCGTTCCAATGAAAACTTAACACCCCTCGTTAATGTAAAGAGTGAGGTTTTAAAAAGTCACGAAGTGCGAGGTTATTTGTAACTGTATTTCCATTGTGGTTGTGTTTACATTGGTATTTACAGATTAAAATAATTATTACCCACTATTGTGCTAGTGTATTTACATAAAGTGATACAAAAAGAACAATCAATTGCCGATTACATTAAAATATGTTGCTTACTTTAAACTGTGCTGTTCCTTACCATTTGCACACATATATCGACAATGAAGAAAAACAATAACATTACTATTGTTGAATGTCGAACGTGCAGAGGTGTTGATAGTTTCTAGTGCTGCCTAGGAAAACGCATTCTCACCACAAGGTGCTGCAGCTTCATTCCCTGAATAAACAAATATTCAGAGAATGAAGCTGCAAGGTCGCCATCCAAGTGCAAATACAACTTTAAGTTTAAAATATGCAAACGGTTTTATACAATGCAAAATGCTTGAAAGCTTAGCGTCGCGTCGTACTGGCCAAGTTTCTGTCCTGGTTACTGAACTTCAAGGTATAAGAGTCGACGTTCATACACGTCTTAGGTTTGGTCTTTTTACCTCTCAGGATTTTACCGACCTTTGGAATCTGCGTGACTTGTGCTGGTATATGCACTGTTGTTCGGTGTGGTGGTGTATATTTATGTTGCTCTCAGTTCGAATTTCTATGTGTGTGGAAAAGAAAACACAGTAATCTTTTTTAAATTTTATTTTGTTAAGGAGTCACGAGTTACAACGATGTCGTTATAGAGTGATTCTAATGTAATTTTAACTCCTATGAAATTTCGAGAAATATAAAAAATATACACATTTAAAGCTAAAAAATAATATCAGTTGCCAGGTATACAATTGCTACAAGTATTTATTGTGAACAAGTAAGGAAATAAACACCGGTAAAAGTTAACATATAAACACTGGTTAAAACATATCATAAGTTGAATTTCTTGCATACATTTTAGAGAATATTAGTAATATTTTATTTCACAAATGTATACAGGTTCGGAAAGTCCCCATGGTACATCGGCCGTTACGTGAGAGCGATAAAGTAAGTCGTATAAATCCGTGCGATACACAAGGATTGAAGACGTTTCATAATCTGAATAGTCAGTCCCACTTCTAACCCGAAACGGCCGGTGACTATTCAGATTATGAAACGTCTTCATTGTAGCCATCCTTATCTATCGCACGGATTTCTTTACTTTACTTTGTCGCTCTCATCTAAAGGCAGATGGACCATGTGGATTTTCCAGCCCTGTATAAAGCGTACCCAGAAATATTGAGACACCATTTTACAGGATTCTGGGATCATGAAAAGTTTACTCACACCAACTCATCTATATCCAAAATTCAACACCTACTGAGATACAAGTGAATGCAATACTATGAAAAATATTTTTTCATATAACGTTAAAACTGTTTTCTAACTTTCTGTTTGATAAACGATTCAATGTATTTGATTGTAACAATTGTAACATATTTCTTGTATATGTAAGGAAATTACATACAGGGTGTTATTTTTTAACGGTTCCACCCCTTTGAGTGCCCCACAACTTTTTTCTACGTGCAACTTTAGCCGTCTAATTTACATTTTGTGATGCAAATTTAATTTTACCATTTTTTTTTCTTGCGGAATCTTGATATGTTCTATAACAGTGTGATTCACAAATGGTGACTAAAAATGATAACTCATATTCTTTGGTGAATTTTAAAGGGTCTTTCCTATAAATTTTTTATCTTCTATGAAGTTTGTTATCTTCGTTAAAAGGATACAAGATGTTAAACTTCAAAAAATATTTTTAATTTTTTTAAATGATTTAAAAACTAGCAAGTGAAATAATTTGAAATTGGACACATGTTCTTATGTAAACATTGTCCAAAATCTAAAATTTACATGGTTCGGTGGCAAGATACAGGGTATCAGTGACATATTTTTCTAAATAAATTAGTACGCCACTGCTTTACGGTAAAAACCATGGTATTTTCGTGTTTATCTTTCGATTTTCTACAAATTACTACTCTCTTATGTTTTTCGAAAAAAGCCTGATTTTCGAGTAAAATTTAAAAAATTTACTGAGAACACCATTCGATATTCGAATATAATGCTTTTTAAAATTACATAGTGGGCTGCGATAGCAACTTTGACATGCTGAGCAGTTAGAAGAAGGAATATCTTTTTAACGAAACGTCCTAGATAAAAACTTTATAGGAAAGACTCTCCTTAAAATTCACCAAAGAATACGAGGTTTCATTGTTGGTCACCATTTGTCAATCACATTTGGAGTAAAAAAGAGTAAAAGTTGTCATTCTCAAAAGTACTAAACATATTCTACAATTTTATTTTTATATTTGGACGAAAAATTCTCCGCATAAAAATAAGAAATTAAGTTATATAAACATAGCTCTCCTAATTGTGTGTTTTTCTTATTTTTAGGCGTAGGAACGTTTCTCTATATATGGAAATGAAATGTCTCAGTATCTTGTATTACAGTTCATGTAAGACCAATGATGGTGCAATCATTTAATCAATTTAATACTACATAAAACAAATCTAGTAATTTTGTATTATAAAAATCGGAGTTACCCAAGTAAATAAAGAAAGGCGTAGGTCAAGTTTTTAGCTAAAGCATTATTAAAGTAATATTAAAAAATGTTGCTTCGTATTCGGTGGGATATATCTCAATAGGCGTTAACTTTTACATGTACATCTAAATTTGGATCCAAGGAGCTTGTGGTCAAACGGAATCTCAACCTTTCTGATATGCCCTGTATAAATCACTAGTTTTATAATAATTAACATCTTTTGTTTGTACTAAATAAATTAGATGAGAAAATAAATTTGGAATTGATAGAACTGTCAAAATTGCATTATTTTGTGGAAAAAATTACTTTATAGTAGGTACCTACGTATTATTACTGGGATTTTATAAAATTAACTTTTTTCAACAAATTTATTCTTATAATAAAAACTTAGAAATGGATAGAAATAGTCAAGAGTAAAAAAAATTACAGAATATAGATATTTGTTTTGTCATGATGATATATTAAGATCAATCCACACTATCGCTCAAGGTCCGTTCTCAGTCCAGTGAAACCTTTCCTTATCTACACTGCTGTGCGACTTAAATCTAAAATCATTAGTGGAATATCGCACTTATTTATTAAAAGAATATTTCAATGGAAAAAACACAGAAATCACAAGTCAAAGTGACAAGAAACAACGAATTAGATGCAGAAATATTTATAAAATATTTTAGAGTAGATTCTGGTACAATGTTGGCTGAAGTGGAAACTCATTCACACTATCAGTATTGGCTCTGTTCTATTCATGTTTTACCAGACCGAAAGCGGAGCTAAGCTCTACATGTAACGTGGATCGAAATTTAAAGAGCTGCACTATTTAAAAAAGTATATATTTTAAACCTATGAGCGAGATCTAGACTTCCTAGATGCATAACTTTTCTATATATTTTCTAGCAGCTAACATTTATATTATTTGCTAGTTTAAACTGGTTAACTTTTGCATTTTTGATATTCATATCATATTACGCTATGTTACCAAATTAACTAAACAAAACAAAAATTATGTCTTGAATTAGGGGTTAATACATCTCATTGTGTAAGCAAACTACGTACAGCATCTAATTAGACTTAAAGACTAGGTCCTGGGTAAAAAAATCGTTTTCTAAAATAAAAAAATATTTTACAATACATTACAAACTTATTAGCAGAGCACATATTCTTGTCTTTCACTAGAGTACTGTTTCGAAAAACACTAATATATCACTATAAATTATCTAAAGTCCTATAATTAAGCGCAATAATTTAATAATTTATTCTTATTCCTTTATAGTCCATCATTTTTTGTTTTATACTTGGGCACTTCCCTTCTTTTCTTGAATAGGTTCCGTACTCACATGCTGGGATGGTGCAATCGTTATTTAGTATACATCTGTAAAAAATATAACATTTAGAAAAGGTGAAAAATACAAATAAATGTCAAATACAAATGAAAAAACAGAAAAAATGGAAAAAAAATAAAGAAATAACGGAAAATGTACAAAAGTTACATACATCCTATCAGTCATGCTGAAATGCTCGTTACCCATCTTCAGTTGGATGCAGTCTACATTTTCTTCTTCACAGTCGCAATGGCATGAATTATACTGATCTACGGGCGTTAATTTAAAATGCTTTGGACATTTACACCTAAAAAAATAATATATATCTATACAAGTGGTTTTATTTTGGGAAAACAAGGATAATATTAATAGCTTTAACTCCCCCTCATAGCGAAATGATTCCTACGTTACTGGCTATTGCATTTTAAAAGACGTTTCAGTATCTTAAATTAGTTGGAGTAGTTTTTTCCTGAATTTTATCAAAGTACCACTGTATCCGCCAAGTGGTGGTTATATAGCCGTTGAAATTTTTAATTAAGAATTTTGCGGTTTCCTTTTTGACTATCGCTTGTGGTAAATATACTGAATTCAAGAAAAGTTCGTACACCTATACATCTACAGGAAACAGGTTGTAGAATTTTAAGTCAACTTGAATAGAATATGTACCTATTTGAATATTAAATAAGTCAAATATAGTATTAATTAAAGAAATATATCTTTGGAAATAAGATTTTCAAAATATAGAGGGGAAAAATATACCGAGTATTAGTCAGAACATTTCTTTATCTGGAATACACAATAACGGGAAAGAAAAATGGCAACATTTATTTAAACAATCATTTTAAGAAGAAAAAATCTTGGCTATTTATTCTATGTAAGATCGATACTTACTGCAATACTTCAGCAGAACTGTACGTATCAGCCGACTTGAACGATAGCACTGAAGAATTATCTTCTGGCTGTTCTGTGGATGTTTCGTTGGTCTTCTCTCTGCACTCACATTCAGTATGATTGTAGAAGCTGAGTTTCTCTACTTTCGTCCTTGTTGAGTCCAAAGTAGTCGACTGAAATTAAAAAATAATATATTCTATAACAATATTTTAGACTTAACTCTGTACAGGTTGTTAATGAACTTCTGTCAAATATTTAAAGGGGTGAAAAAGCCTCGACCAACTGCGACATCGTATAGCTGAAGCTTGTAATACGATTCGAGAGGACGTGGCGATGTTGCAACGCGTGCGAGCGAATTGGATACGTCGTGCTGGAGCTTGTGTTCAAGCAAATGGCGGGTACGTCGAACATCTTCTATGAAAATCAGCAGTTCTCAAAAGGTGGCTCCTTGCAATGTTGAGGTAAGTCATTTTACTCATCACTGATCCGTGTATTTACCTCATTTTGACATAACAGACATGTGGCAAAAATATTTGACATAAGTTCATTAACACCCTGTATTTTTTAAATCATGTGACGATTAAGCCAAATAATCAAAATTTGTTTCAAGCTTGGATAGAACAGATCTTCGGATCTGAATCCACCAAATTTCAACTTGTAGGATCAACTCATTGGTGTATTCGGCATCAATTTTCAATGAATTGCAACTTCGGTTTGATTGTTTGAACAATGCTGCAATGAAGTCAGGAATTTCAGATAAGTTAATGCATGAAACTACAATTACGTATGATTTATATTAACATATAAAGAACATTTGCGAGTAGGTGCATTAAGATAATCATGCAGTGAAAAAGGATGTAAAAATGTTTTTTTTATGTTTTAGCAACCGCGCACTTAACGCTTCTACTTGAACGTCGAATGAAGAGATACGATACATATCTTCTTTCAGTGCAGCAGGATTGCATATAATATATTACCGCTTGTAATATTATCGTCCTGTTCCTTTTTCTTATCTTATTATACTCCAAGGCAGAATATAAACACCTGTCCACGGTGTGTGTGTGTAAACGAGATGCTATCTTCTAGCCAGTATGATCTATCATTCTTGTATATATTGACTTGTCAAAGATCGCGGTTTCTTTAATGAATGTTTTTACGCATACTACTTGAACAATTATTACTGTCGCCTGTTAACACTGAAAAGAGTTAATAAACTGAAGCGCATATCTGATTTCGTGGAGATGATCTATAGTTTCATCAGTAGCATCTCAGTAGGCTTACAATGTAAAAATTGTCGAGAAGATAATTTGTTCTTATTGAATGCAAAAATAAAGGCGGTTTATACGAGTTCACTCATTTAGTCACGTACAAAAGTTCCAAAATTTTGGGTTTATTCGATGTTGTAAAAATGAATAAAATGAATATATTAGATTATACCACTATTGGATCAACTATAAATTGTTCAGCTCTGTGTTAGTCAAATTTGTTTTAAAATATTGTAAAACTTTTCAATATGGAATAAAGAAAGTAAACCGCATAATTGGATTTTCTAATCCAGAAATATTCCATTTCAAAATATCGTTCCACCGGGTGGGCAGAAATTATTAATCACAGCCCTATTCTTCAACAGAAACAATCCAACAGACATAAATGAAGACATTTGTGATGAGCCAACTGGTGTGGTTTCATTTTTAGAGCAATGATCTTAGTTTAGTCAACTGGACGCGTTTCCTGGAATCTATTAATACTGCATATGACCTATCCCGAACCACTGCTTGTGTTGATTTATGTGCCCGTAGAAATATTTACGTGCAAATAATTGAATTATAGTTGCTCGTTGAACGATGGATAATAAAATTTAGCGTAAAATTTAGTGGTGCTCGAATATATCGCGATTTCGACGGAAAGGATCACGTTGGGCTACTATTGGAATGCAAATATTTTCATAAGTAAAAGCGATCAGTCATTTACTAAGACAGTTCCATATTGAGTTAATTTAAAACCATAACACATTAAACCTGGGTCAATAAAACAAAATGTGTATTTCTCCATATTCTAGTACGTTTTAAAAACTGGAATTTTAATAGCAACGTTGCTATAAATTCTCACAATAAACAAAAACCCAGTTTGCGATTCTTCAGATATTGATCATAAATCAATTTTTGGAGAATTACATAAAACTTATTGAAGGTACAGATCTGAAACTTGATATAATTATGTCTCTAGAGTTTTGCATGGAATGTGTGCATTCATGTTACAAATCCAAAGAACAGAACAAAGTTAAGTATGTTATTAACATATATGACTAACTACTATGAGAGAACTGCACACCAAAGAAGGATGAATCTTCAATGGTTCTTGAGTAATGATTGATCAAAAACTGAGTTTCTCTTGCAATCTTTAAAAACTTAACCCTTAAGAATAAATATTTGTAGTTGTTGTAGATCGTTCGTTTTGATGAAGTACGAGCAGTTTCAAGCTTTCCCAAAAAACAGGTCAGAGCTAACATTATGTACAATATGACGTATAGAATATCAAACTTTTCACGGTTTTTTAGGCGTTTCCAGTTAATTTAATAGGTAAGAAAGTTGCATCACATTGTAATTGAAAAATTACAATTTTTTTGCTCTGTAGAGTATCATACAAGTACAATTTTAATTTACTTTATTCAGAATCATCATCTACCATTGCAGTTCAAGTTTCATAATGAAAACTCGACTAAAGCTTGTTGCATTTCTACTTTTTCTACTTTGTAAAGAGTAATAGGACATTGGGATAAATTAGTTTGAATGTAAAATGAGCAATCAGGAAGAATGAATTAAAAATTACCATTGTTCGGAACCACAATTAATGAGTTGACTTGATATCACAACCGAAAAGACCACCAACAACGATGAAATTCCGCGGTTTTAAAAAAAAAACAGTAGGATTTATCAACAGAGGAAAGGGAAATATATATTTAACACATTCAATCACCTTTGCGGCACTCATCTCGTAAATCACCGAGCGATTTATACAATCGTCCCATCCGCTAAGAAATTCCACTCGCGCTAAAACTGTTTTCCTCGAAGGATTGTTTCACATTGATTTATTGTAGACAAACTCTGACGTATGCATTTCTTGTTTTCTACGATTGGTGTTTCCTTTGTTTTTCGGTCATTGTGCTCGTTAGGCTCAATGACACATTATAATTCAATGGTTAATATATTTATTAGAATAATTAAGGGGTTATTCTGTAACGCCTAGATGACATATTTAAATTGACTTGGTAAATTGAGAAATATGCTTGATGGAACTATTACTCACCAAGTTTTCTCACCACCAAAAGAACAAATATCTTTCACAGTGTATACAAGTATGTCACGAAGTTGAGAGTAAGCATCTCAAATCAGTAGTTATGTTGGTATGAAATTCGGAAATGTATTTTTCTCTATTTTTTTTATACAATTCGAAAGTTGCTCACAAACACAACATTCTGTTTCATGGGCTTGTGATTGATAGCAATTTTCAAGTGATTCTATTCAACTAATTAGCGATCGCATTATCTCGTGCATTGTTGGAACGGTTTGTCACTGTTCATTATAAACGAATCATTAATATTAGCGACGCTAAGATTCAGGGATTTTTAGTTGACAGTACCAGCCATGCAATGTTGGTTGCCTAAGATCAGCGGTCACGTGGCTTGTAATCATTTCTGAAGGCTCTGTATATGATATGAAATGTGAGCCATCAGCACAAATAAATAAATAATGTAGCCATGTTTCATTATTTGGCGGCAAGTTGTTAATACGGAGGTAAGATTTTTGTATTTGTTAGCTTACATATACAGGGTGTCCCAGTGTCAGCGTACAAAAATTTTCCAGAGGGTAGACCAGCCCAAAATAAGATCAAAATTCTTATAAAATATTTTTCTGCGATGCACTTTCACTGAGTTACAGGGTGTTGTTTAGAAAAAATAATAACAGCTTTCCGCAATAACTCAAAAACCCTTTCAGGGATTTAAGTAATTTTTGTGTACATCTATTAAAGGTCATTAAAACTACATGGTGCTTATTTCGATCTGACGCCAGGGGCGGCCTAGGCCAACGTGTCCTCAAGGTTATGTCTTCATAACTTTTGCATATCCTAGTTTTATGTAATTTGATTAAGGTTTCGTGAATTTGCAATCGATTCTGAACAAAAAATGGGTTCTTGTTTCATACCTCAAAAATGAAGCGTTTTCGAGTAAATTGGGTCTAAAGTATCGCCTGCATTAATTCGTAGAAAAATGCATGTAAAAATTGTATTTCTTGTTTTCTAGTAGGTAGGTACCTGCCATTATAAATAACAAAGTTGTTTACAGGCGTCAACAAACCAAAATCAATTACGGTACTCGAAGTTACAAGAAATTAAGTTTACAAAACAACAAGATAATAAGTATTATCAAATTTTCCAAAAACGAATATGCCGATATGATAATTTGTTTACGGTTTCTGTCATGAAAATTCGTTGGTGGGCTTACAAGAGTATCTACGCAGGTTTCCAAACAGAAGGCAACCTTCACAAAACGTATTCCAATGAGTTTTCCAAAGAGTCCGTGAGACCGAGAGTGTTAACATTGGAAATATCAGAATAAGAGGTAATTTGGAAGATGCAAGCATTTTAGAAGAAAATGTAATAGCTGCTGTTGTTGATGATCCTTCCACCAGTGTCCGAAGAATATCAACGCAAGTAGGTGTTCCACGAAGCAGCGTCTGGAGAATTTTAAATCGAGAAGAACTGCACCCATACCACCTACATAAAGTACAAACTTTGCATCCTGGTGATTCCGAAGAAAGGATACAATTTTGCAGATGGTTGCTAGAAAATATCGAAAATAACGAAATAAAATCTTTACATGCATTTTTCTACGAACTAATGCAATCGATATTTTAGACCTAATTTACTCAAAAACGGTTCATTTTTGAGCTTTTTTGTTCAGAATCGATTGCAGATTCTGGAAAACGTAATCAAGTTACATAAAACTAGGATATGTAAAAGTTATGAAGATATAACCTTGATGACAAGTTGGCCTAGTCAGCTCCTGGCGTCAGATCGAAATAAGGGTGAAAAGGTTTTTGAGTTATTGCGGAAAGTTGTTATTATTTATTTTTCTAAATAACACCCTGTAACTCAGTGAAAATGCATCGCAGAA